TAGCGAGTCAGAGAATTTCCAGTTTTAGGAACATCTGTAAAGCGGACACCTTCTCGAACATAACCAGACGTACACAAAAAATGAAATTATATTTATCAAGAAAACTATATTACATTCATAATTTATAATTTGAGATAACGATGCTGGAAATATAAAAATGATAACATCTCAAAATGGTAGCATTGCTCTATTTTGGGGTCCCATTAAAAACACTGGTCAGTAGTTATAGTGAGTTTATTTGTAAGTTATGTTCTGGGTTTGACCCACGAATCTAGAGAATTATAACATTATTAACTTCGTTATACGGAATATATAGCAGCAATGACACCGGGGCTCTATTAAAACATATTTATGATCGTAGGCCGCCCTTTCGCCGCTAAAAGAGATGAATTAAGTGATTGGTGATTATTTCGCCGCTATAATCTTATTTCTAACTTTCGATCCCCTGATAAAGGTGATTACGCTACTCCCAACCATGTTCGGTCTCGACAGCGCGTGCCTAATTTCAATGTTCGCATTCTTTGAGCACAAAAGAAGCGAAACTACCGCAGGTTTTTCTTTGAAAATTTCTTTGGCTTTAAGAAGTCGGTTGCTGGGAGCATACTTGTAATAAACCGATTCGAGTACTTTCTTAATTACCATTCTAATAGGAAGCTTTTGTACTTATTACGAAGTCTAGTTAAAGATAGCGGCGACGGCGCGTTTTCGCTGAAAAGTTATAATTTAAAAAGTGCGCGGCTAAGTCAAGTTTTAAGTGAAAACACCAGCCCACACATCATAATTTACCGCAGCAAATTCAAAAGAAAACCGTGTTCACGACCACACGTACATTATGATTAACATTTTGAAAGAATTTCAAAAATGAGAACCTGAATAAAGTTTCTGAATGCCAATTTCCAACTAATTTCGTCACAAATTTTGTTTTGCAAAACTTAAACGAGATTCTTTTCACATTATTTACATGTTGGCTATACATGCAGTGTCATATCTTTTAAAATATTATTTGATGAACAATTTGCCGTAAAAAAAGAAATTACCACCATTCAACAAATTTTGGCGATAGTCTATTTAATTATGAACTGTAGATTAGGGTATTTATGAGAATTTTTGATTGATAGAAAAAAAAAAACCCCTTCAAATTATTATGCAATATTATAAAACTCAAGTCAAGCATGTTTGAACATTCATTTTAAATAGGTTTACAGGATTTCGGGAGAATTTATAAATAAACCCAACAACACAGTAGATTGGGCAAGTTTCATTCATTCGATTTTTTCAATGAAAACCTTTTTGTCCGTTTGCTTCACTGAGCTGATAAACGATAGACGGGGGATGGAATGTTTTTTAGTTCTTTTCGAGTGCAGTCTGGCTGAAAATTCGGTTTGAAAAATTGACGGGCCGGTGGCTATAATTCGCCAATATCCCTTTATTCAACGGTAATAAGTTACTTAAATGAACATCAAGTATTATGGTAAAAGCGTAAGGGGGTGTTTTTGACACTCGTCTTGCTTCAGACGAAGTATCTTTCACATTCTGTTACACACAATACCTCTTCTTCTCTTTAAAGACCTAATTAGGTTATTTTATTATCACACAGAAAACTAAATTCAGGTGTTATAAATGAACTTCGAAAAACAATACACGCGTGTTTATTGTTTAACTTTTGCAGCATTTGGAAATGTGAAGGAATAAATCTACCTGTTCAGACAGTTACTTTTGCATAATTTGAAACAAGTATTTTCACAAAATATTTTGAGTGATGAAAATGTAATAGCACTGTTTAATTTGAATGCTGTCTGGGTTTTAACAAATAAAATCTAATCTATTTTGGTGAATATGTCTATAAAATGTGAACCGTGTAGTATTTGAAACAGACAGCAGGCGGGTACAATAAGATTAAAGCAACTGTAAGCAAACAAAATAAGATAGGACACAGTACGGATCCTTGGCGAAGGCCCCTTGTACACATCCTTGCTGTACTCTTACCCATGTAGCCCACCCATGAGGAACAACTTCAGTGTCTTTATTCTTTCTATTTATACAAAGCTAAAAGGGATTTCCCTTTAAGCAAACCTCTATGACTTGTATTCAACGTCATATTTTCACAAGAACACGCGCGCGTGTCGCGTGCACAACAGCAGATCTGAGATCTTTTTAAAAAAAAAAATGAAAGAGGTTATCAGTTTCAAAGTTAATTTTGATTCATAGAGCGCTAGATAAGATAGGGCGAGTGAAAAAGAATATATACGAAAGATATTCACCATTAATAATTGCATATAAAATATGCTGTCAAATGAATAACGTTTTAGATGGGCTTTTAAACTACTAGAGTACGCACAAGTCAGAAAAGACGTTGAAATTTTTGCCAGTAAATAAAGGTATTTATGATGGTATTTGTTCTTAGCAATACGGCAAACGTGTAATAACCGTTTTATTAAGCCGAGTAAAAAAGCCTCAACTATTTAGAGCCAAAGATATATAAAAAAAACGATACTGTGCCTTCAGCAGGAATATGCTCGTTAGTTCTGCAAGAGATGTTGCACCATTCTCTTATCATTATTACCTCATCTTGTCTATGCCCTAATGTTAACGTGAGAACTTGTCCTTGGCGAACTCCACGCCCCTTTCTCTCAAAGCTTTTATGATAATTGTTGCTCTGTTTCGCTTCACATTTTTTTTAAAACTCTTCAGCAAAAAACATGTCGTTTTTTTTAGAATTCAAGCAGTTATATAATGGAAATACCATCGCGTTTTTTGTTTAAATTATTTTCAGAATACATTCGCGTGAAAACTAGGAATTCTAAGTGAGGAATAATGACCCAAAATGGCGGGCGTAGTCACATGTCTGAACGAACGACTCCCTCTTTTACGATGACTTTCGTTTATTTTGTAAATTCTAAGTATCGTCACCTGGTATCGTAGATCATGATAAGATATCAAAATGGGAAGTTTTACATTTTTCCTCCATTCGTAGGTGATAATAATATTACATTATTTTGGTGTATTGAGATTCCAAATTGCAAAATGTCTTCGTCACATCCTTTATTGTGAGTTATTCGTGTGTTTTCAACTCAAGTGTATATACGGGATAACTTTACGATTGCTTGGCAGATTTTTGCGTGAAAAGAATTCCTGTGTTTCGCAAAGAAAATAAATTTGTTTTATATTCAGTTACTTTCCTCCACCTTTTGTCAAAAGGATAAAAGTGGATTGTACTTAAAACTTGGTGTCAGAAGTAGAGAGAACTGAAAAAGAACCTTAAGCCATTGTAAAATATATAATTATGTGAATTGTGGGTATAATGCACATTCGGCTCTGTACACATTAGAATTTTTTCATAATTTAATAAGTATTGAAATCCATAAATTACTTATATATTAAAAATTCGCGTTAACAATTTTATACACTCGGTTGTTGCTTTTCTTAAAACGTTGCGTTTCGTAATTAGGCTGCCTTCATTCAAGATTTTGGATTCACACATCCATCAAAAAGACATTCTTGGCTGTCATATATTGTAGCACCTGCGAATTAAAGTTTTTCCCATTACCTGTGATATATTACTTCTAGACTCAACCTTTGTCTGTCGCTTGTAATATGGAAAATATGTTTTTAATGCACTTTTAATGGGAATTTTAAATAAGTTATGGAAAATAATGAAGTGTGGAGGTTTTGTCTAGTGTCTAAAACCGCGTTATATAAGTAAAGTAAAAAAAAGACGACAATGTTATTGGGTTGTAAAACAACTTTAAAGATACGATTCGTGAATAAAGGAACCGGGGATTTAAGACAGTTCGTATCTTACACCCCCCGGCTTTACTAATCAAATTTGAACGTAAATTAGTCAATAATAAATTATTCCTCGACTATCGGCTGTATTGATGATAATCTGATATACATATCTATGTGTACCCATCTACCTCAAGTGTTAATTACCTATCATATAATAAGCTTTGATCTGTGCCGACAAAGCAAATAAGTTTAAATGGGCATTTCTTTTGTCACTTTGTCATGCTGATGACAGCCGACTTGACGCATGACATAAAAGAAAGCATGTATTTCGACGACTTTCAAACTTAATTCGTCGTGTTATTCACACTAAATTTTTAATACCATACATAAATTATTCGGCTAACAAATTTGACACCAATGTCCTATATTTTAGTATAACTAGACGTAAATGCATAATGCATAAATACATGTTTATTTGCATATAACTTTATGATTCCTATCTTGATTTTAATGGCGATTTTTACCAGGTTTTATTTCAATAAATGTCGTTTTTATGTCCCTGTTTAACAAACCCTATTCCAGGTATCTTTGCCAACATTTGGTAGGGGTTTTAGTTGGTTTCGTTATTCCGATAAGATTGCTTATTTACAGTTATTGCTTATTCGTAATTGAACGATTCCCTACTTCGAAAGACAGTGAAACGGGTAAGGTATTTCGTCTCACTTCAGAGAGGGCTTACCGAATTATAGTTAGCTATTAAAGAAAGGGGTAAAACGACCGTTAAATTACCTGGCTTTGTCTGTGATTAATCTGCCTATAACGGTCACTCTGTTTTTATGTTCACTTGGGTTATTAATGAGAAATCTTTTCAATGGAAACTTTGGTTTAAATTCATTCGATATTTAATCAAAAATCTACATCCAAAGCACTTAGAGAAAGAAACAAACCAATTTCATTTATTGCATTATTCCATTTCTATGCTTCTATGCTTCTCCAATTCATAAGTCAATTTAGAAATATATTCGACTTGTAATTCTATATTTAATCATTTATATGCCTAATTGGACATGCACAGATGTAGAACTAATCTACATGTATGTCCTACGATTGGGTTTTAAATAAAATAGAAACTATAGTGGGGTTAGTTAAAGGCAACACTTTGTGTTATAAATTAGAAGTGAGTGTGTTCGTCTCGGGACTATGTCTCGTCTGGTGGTTTTGGCGCGCGGACACGTCGCGGCAAGCAGGATCATTTCACCTGCCTTTGAGTAAACAGACGAGGAAATTTAAACGACATTTGGTCTGGAGTAAGTTACATTTTAAAATTCATGATGATCAAAATTCGGGGTCAAAATTTATTAATTTAAAAAGAAAAAACACAAAACAAGCAAGCGCTGGTATTATCTTTAAGGTGGTTTTTTTTCATGTAACAATTTTGGGCTTGGAATTAAATAAATGTCTAGTCCCCGCGATTCTGATATAGTTGCTTATCAGCTAGAAATCAAATGATATACATAATATTTTACCTAAAGTTACCCATTAATAGGTCCCTAATACCAATATAAACCCCACTCTAATCCTAAACGCCCATTAAAGGCTTAACACAACACCGTTAAAATCTTCCGTCGGTGCAACCGTATTTATACCCCAGTAAATAATGCCTGGTTGATTACAATACAGTTATCTTTGTGGAGTTATAAGACAAACACAATAAATCTGGAGTAGTCCGAAATGACACTTGACTGCTACAGTAAAATACGTGGATCTCCTCAGCGCAGTGATTAAAGCATGCATAGATAGTATAGAATCGTTAAACATTACTATCGGTAAGTTTGGCCGTCGTTTTAGATTAAGGGCGATGTTTATTGTTTAATAGCCATTACCGCGTCGCTCATATACTCCACTTTAAATTACTGCCTTATTATTCAATTACGTCATAGGGGAGAATTATGTAATGCATCGTTTGTCTTGGAAGCCTTATAGTTACGTATTTTGAATCCAAATTATAATCTGCTTTATAATATATATAAGTCATACAAAAATGAATGAAATGGGCTTTAACGTCCTACTTTTCTGCTCAGGCCGGGCTAATGAAGATGGGTCATAGAAAACATATTTCTATTAAAATTTCATCCTTAAAAAGTGGATCGAATACCTTTAATTTTGTAGACTATTTAGAATTATTGTCAATTCAGCACCGGGCGTTGTTTGCCAATGTACATGTATTTGTATTGGCATGCATGAATATTATAGTATATCGTTGTCTGCACTGACTTATCTGTGTATGGTCGACGACGCTTAAAATAATGAAAATATAGACAGTGAGTTAGATAGAAATGGGCACACGCTGTTTACAAGTGGATTTTCGCGTGATTAAAATTCGAACTATCTTTGAACACCGAGCTAAGATTTGTAGTGGCGACCGAGGGTCTGACTCAGGGGCGCCTACTGTGGTAATCACGACTCGAAGCTTTATACACATTAAAATAGAAAAGGGACTATGTAAATATGGTCTATCACTTTCTTCAGACTTAAAGATAAAACACGGGTATAACTACATCGTTGTCTTTGACAAACAAGACTACAAGGTAGCCTTCATCAACAGGGTATATATATATATATATATACATAACATATATATTCCACCTTGACCAGAGACAGAGATAAAAAAAAAATCCACACATAAACAAAAAATTGATAACCTTTTTTTGTATATTTCAGAATGGCGAAGTTCAATGTGAAAAGAAGAAATGTGCAAATTTAGATGGATGCCATGCTATCTTATTTGACGGTCCGAACAAAAAATGCTGCGATGTTTGCAAAGGTAAGTACATAATATCTTGAATAATTAATATTCAAGCACGGGAGTCCTGCTAAAGTAAACTATGATAGACTAGAATTTCAGCAAGATTAATTCTCTGATTTGTATTTTTAAATATTCAAACATCATTCATCAAAGACAATAATTGAGGCGAAATATTAAACAAGAACCGAATGAAACCCAAATATAAAAAATGTTTTCATTGTTTTTTTTATTAGGTTGTCGATTAAACGGTATTAGCCATGATAGTGGTAAAGCGTGGCTTGATAAACGAGACAGGTGTACTTCTTATTCTTGTCGGGTAAGTAACTTACTGATATATAAAATACAATCACCTAAAGCATAGTTTCACTTGCCAAACATTGTTTCATCTTACCATCTAAACTTATGTAAAAATAACCGCTGTGGGAGGGATGGGAGGGGGTTCGGCATTTGAAATTTGTCCAATTGGAAGATGAAATATATTACTGTAACCTGCCTTCATCGGAATTAAACATCGACATCGGCATCTTTGAACTTCACCTGGTAATTATGTACACAGATTTGGTGGAAATCTGCGCCTAAGCCGGGGTTTGTTTAGCGTGGCCTTTGTTATTTGTTTCTAAAATCATCTGTCAATATTTCCACTGACTCTAATAGTCCCGCTCATTCTCCCCACTCTGGCGAGGACCATGTACATTTTGTTGGAAAGATCCTACATAGATTTAGCGCAGTGCTTTGCCTCTCTATCCAAACATTTCACAATTTACTGCGAACATTCCGTACAAAACATTAAACATTCTGACAATTTGGACAGGGTAATTTGTAAATTTTTGACAATTGAATAAACCGGGGCCACATTAACATATATTAAATCTATTTGCCGGTCTAGTGAAAGGTGAAGGCTAAAGAATACCGCCTTGGCAAACCCCTTACATCATTTATAAGATACGTCTTGATAGAGATGTGTATACGTGTTCTTTAAAATGGAATAAAAGGCTGGTAATGGAATCGGAGAAAGATGTGTGTGTACGTACACACACTAAACTTTTCTAAGAACGTGCACAAATTCTATTTTCTCCACGCGATTATAATTAATTCTGTAAACAGATCCAAAGAAATTCATCAAGAAGAACGAGTTTCGTCTGTTTTTACTCCCGAGTCAAGAAAGCAGCAAGCTACAATTCTAATGAACTGGTTCGCGTAGTTAATTGTGATTCTCTGCCCGTCCAAAACCTGCTGACAGAAATCTTCACTTTTAAACCAGTGTATATCTTAGTCTGATGGATGAGTTCGGGGCTGAAAGCTATTATTATTTTGTCCCCAAATCCCCCGACTAAGGCCGTAATTAAGGCACACCTTGCTCGTTCACACATATGTTATATTTCTTGAGGGCCGCTAGAGAGGGGGTATCAATTTTCAACAAGAGAAATACGGAAACAAAACAAAACAAAACAAAATATGCAGACAAAACATAACCCAGACAACATCTACCGCAACACCTCGAGCTTCTGAGATTTGAAACGTTCGACAAATTAAGTAAATCCAATTCCTTTTTTTTCTTGGTGCCAACAATAACCCCAAAACATGTGTATAATTTACATGTTTTTATTTTCAGGCTGGTGTTATAACTAAATCAAAAGTGCAATGTCACGTCCCGTGTACCAATCCAATTCAAAGGAAAAGACAGTGCTGTCCATCATGCAAAGGTAAGTTTCGAAATGTCAGTTTCTAAGGCTGTCGGCCATTTTGGTTTATAGTGCGAGCTAGACTATTTGATATTGTCGGTCCATAACCACAAGTTGTCTAAAGTTAAAATCCGTCTGGCTAAGGACAAAACGATCAATACATTTCTCCTGGTCAAATAAAATGGACAAACAAATGGTCATCTGGAATTTCTGAGGTCGTCTGGAAAACATGACACGTGACCTATGGCATGTGGTATTTGAGCAGACGACAACAAGGCGTGTCCGGTTGGTAGGCCTACATTACCTGCGTTTCATATTAACATCATTAATTTAATGGGCGAGTGTTTTCATACACACGACTCACATTTTCTATTTTAAATAAGAAAGTAAATGAAAGGTGTTGGTTTACGAGAACACCTGTCCCGGCGAATAAATGTCTTAACCTGTTTTACAAATATTCTACGTATTTATAATAAACGTTCATTACCACTTTTCATTTCATAAAACACTCGCCATTTTCATTGTCCAATTTTTTTTGTCGTTTATTGGTGACAAATTTCGTTTCTATGTGACATGTTGGGAGAGGAGATTATTTGCCATGACTCAAATGACCATTTGGTTTATTGGTCACTCACTGGTCAGTTAATTACACGTGAACAGCAACAAAACACGTTTTAAACAAAATATAACAATAAACATTAAGAACCAACTCGTTTGAGTACTTGATGATCATTTTCCTTGGTGACTTCTATCTTATCTTTAAATCACAAAATAAAACTGATTCGGATAGGGACATTTGAAGACAAGGAAGATTTTTTCTATACAAAATGAGAGAATGTGCAAGTAATATCCATGATAATAACAGTGTCCATTTCAAAACTGCGTAGACCTAGACATGGAAAGCTAGAACAATGTTCTCTGTTTTCGGGTCGTTTTCATCAGATATATATATATTTAGTAATTTTACCCCCCCCCCTAACTCTTTAGCTATAACTAATCAGGCCAATGTAGGCTAACTTATTTGTACCCAGATAACCCGACTCGACTTAATTATTTCACATTTACGTATGACAAAAACCTCCCAGTTTGTTGATATTTAATCTTTTTCAATTTATTTTCTTATTACTTACTTGTCTGAATTATTTACCTATTTATTTACTGTAAATACTTACATACTTCACCTGGGAGACAAAACATGCTTATATTACTCTCTCCTTCATTTACATAAAATACGGAAATGGATGTTGGCTACTTATTCTTCGCTCGTCGAGTTACAACCGTTAAGAGTTTAGCGCCGAGAAAAAAATATCTCCGGGGCTTTCTTAGTCAGGTTTTTTGGTATTTGATGTTAAACTTCTATAGAACGACTTTGAGTCATCTGGCACGTTCTCTTTGCTTTATCTCCAATTTCTACGGCATTTTCTTTACCGTCTAACTCTTACCCTCGCTTGATAAGAGGCTACGAAGATGGCGTCTAACGCGTCTGCCAGGCACGTGCTCCCTTAGCTACGTGTGCCAGAGAGAAAATTGTTTTATTAAAATTAATCAAGCAATTAAGCACTTAATACCATATTTTGATATCATGTATCATGAAAATAAATTCATATTCTTATCCTTTCTTTCAACAGGTTGTTACTTTGATGGAGTCGAGAGAAAAAATGGCCAAAAGTTTGCCCTAGCAACCGACCCCTGCGTACAGTGCAAGTGCAGGGTAATTATTGTGATTTATTTCGTACATATGATCTAATAAATATTTCAATAAGCGCTGGAAGTTTGTGTGAAATTTATCTTGATGTTTCCAGAAATACATCATATGTTCTAATTATGTTAAATTTTATTGCAATTCATATCAAAATTTTATAAAATTTCTGCTGTTATCAATAAAATATATGAAATATTAAGCCGCAGTTTATTATAATATTTTTTATGAAACATTATTTGATATCATAATGTTTAATTTGATTAACTTGATGTATTTTTAGAAAGGAAGCGTGACTTGTATGAAAAGAGCCTGTCCAGTCTTAAACTGCCCGGATGAAGTTATTTATCAACCCAAGGGAGAATGCTGTCCCCGCTGTAAAGGTAAGCGTGAACAAAATTCGTAAAAAATTCGTAAAGAAAAATTCGTAAAAATTCTTAAATTCCTATTGCATAAATGTATGCACCACTAATTAATTCAGTTCAAATTATCTCAGTGATCTTGTTTTAAATATTAACATTCAACATTTATTTATTAATTATATTTTATAATTATTGATTTTTATTTTATTTTTTCAGGAATGAGAAAAATATTTGATTTTGCTGGAGCGTGTTATTTTGCCAAACGTGTTTATACTGACGGTTTTTCATTTGTACCAAAACCAACTACAAGGTGTACTTGTTCGGTAAGTTAAACCACATCATTCATTAAATTGCCTAACTTTAATCCTTGCTGTATAATTAATAGTTTTCTAACTAAATAACTTTTGATTTTTGACATGTTTGTACGTTAATATAGAAAATTTCAATTTTAATCTGATATCAAATTCATCTTTCTTTTTTTTTTAAATCATTATTATTATAATTTTATTATAATTGCTATTGTAGAAAGGAACAGTGATGTGCGAAAAAGCCACATGTCCGCCATTAGACTGTCCACTCGATGAACGAAAACAGCAAGGAAATTGTCAGGTCTGTGAGCCAAAAAGAGACTGCATTTACCAAGAAAAAACACATAAGGTATGTTTCAACAAAATGAATATATTATTAAGTACACCTTCATTCAATTAATAAACTAGAGATGATTTAAATTTTTCATATTTTTTAATGTGTATATTCCTTATTTCTTGCAGCATCGATCTTCATGGCAATCCAATATGTGCACACATTGCTCCTGCAAAGATGGCGTCACCTACTGTCAACGTGAAAGATGCAGCAACTCCCTCTGGTGTCCAGCTGGATATAAACTCAAATTCATGCCTGGTGCTTGCTGTCCTAAATGTGTAGAACGTAAGTTGAATGGCATTTGTTATCTTACCACATAAAAATCTAGCTTAATGTACATCCTTTATTTAAAATACCCGTCTTCATTAGCCCAGTATAGGAGCAGAACAGAAAGGACGTTAAACCCCATTTCATTTCATTTATTTAAAACACCCATCTTAATCTTTAAATGAATAGAAATATTCGTATAATTTATAACATTATTGTTGAAATCATGTACATGTACACTCTCCATTTAAAATACCCATCTTAATCTTTAAATTAACAGAAATATTTGTATAATGTATAACATCATATTAAAGATTTCCCAATAACTAATAAATTTATTTTGTATTTTTCTAACAGAAGATGCCGTATGTACAGTGTTCGGAGATCCCCATTACAGAAGCTTTGATGGAAAGATGTACAATTTCCAGGGAACTTGTAAATATCTACTCACCCAAGATTGCCATAATAAAGACTTTACCATTAAAGTTAAGAACGGAGTTCGGCTATCCAGTGGTTTTGCCTGGACACAGATGGTGGTTATTTTAATGGGCGACATACGAGTCAGTCTCCGTCAGAACCTTGTGGTAAAGATCAACAGAAAGAGAACCCAACTCCCATATTCTGTTCCAGGAAAATTCAACATTCGACGTGATGGACATTCCGTAACATTCAAAGCTGACATCGGTTTAAAGGTCGTATGGGATGGAGATAGCTTCCTGGAAGTGACTGCAAGCAGCAAGTACAAGAATCGTCTATGTGGATTATGTGGTAACTACAACGGTTTAGAAACGGACGATTTAATTGGACGAGACCAGAAGACCTACTACAAGGGTGAAGAGTTCGGAAATTCGTGGAGAATAGGAAGCAAGAAAGCCTGTCAGAAAGAACCTAAAATGAAAAATCTTGAATCAATCTGTGATAAAGACTTTCAAGCTAAAGTTAGAGCAAATCGAGAATGTAGTGTCCTGTATTCCAGAACCTTCTCCGCCTGTCGACAGAAAGTCGATGTCCAACCCTACGTCACTTCCTGTGTTACCGATATGTGTGATTGTCCTAATGGCCGACAATGCGCCTGTGAGTCTATTCAAGCCTATGCCCATGAATGTAAAAGAGCTGGTTATAACGTCAAATGGGAGAAAGTTTCAAACTGTAAAGGTATGTTGATTTAAATATTTCCCTTTTTTTAAAAAAAATAACATTTTGAAATTTTTAGAAAAAATACCCAGCTAGTGTCAAAATGACAGGATATTTTCGTTAACACCTGTTATGGATTAAGAATAAAATATAAGCCAAATTCAGTTGAGATAGTTCTCTGACTAACAAAAAACTATTTTCTACAATTCCTCTGAGTCCTCTAACAAAAACATGATGAACCTTTATTTGCATTTATATACCAGTAAATATCATCCAGCTGTTTACAATTGCCCTTTCTCATAGATCAACAAATTATCTTCATTTCAAATCTCTCCTGACGAATCAAACAAAAACATCAGCCAATAAAACTAAATATTTATTGTTGCTCTTCTTGTTTTTTCAGCGCCAGAAAAGACGTGTCCCAAAGGTGCCGTTCACTCCTTGTGTTCCCCGGCTTGTCCAAGAACCTGCAGCGATGCCAAGAAAGGCGGTGAATGTTCCAAGAAATGTGTCCCTGGATGCGTGTGTAAGGGTGGTTTAGTTCTACACAACAACAAATGCATAACTCCAGAGAAGTGCCCAAAGAAATAGGAGAGCATTGAACAGTATGCCCGAGTTGGTGTGGATTATACCAATAAATTCTCCTAAGGCTTCCCAATAGGCGCGGTAGAAGAAGGCCGAGTGATTTTGCGAAAGGTGGCCAAGTGTCAGACGAAATGATAGTGCTCAAACGGTCATGTGGAATCATTGATGATTTACAGAGATCGGTCTTAGCGATTGATGTTGATTTGGGAATATAAAAGAGGCTAAGGGTCGCGTACAAAACCGTATACATCATAGTGCTACGCTTTGTCAGTAATTGGTTAATAAATACGCTGAAAGTGAAACGAAAGTACCAACCAGTCGTTTCTGGTTACGACATTATAATTATTCCTGATAGTGGCTGTCGTTACATATCAAAAACATGCCAAAGAGTAGAAATATGTTTGAATAATGCTCTCGATTACCATAAACAAGTGTTTTTATCCTTAGTAAACTGTGACTTATCTCCCTTGAACAGTAAAGTTTGCATTCTACCTCGATGTATGATTAAATATTAGTGCTCAAAGTTTGCTGAATCAAACTTTCATTAAATAAAGTGTGCAATATTAAGAAACTTTATACTTGTTCAAGTAAACTTATTATTATCGCGTTTCAAGTTCTAAGTGAACGCACACGTACCGTTATTTTCTCCTATACTATTGATATTAGTAAAAACTGTTCTTTGTTAACGCATCAATTAAAGTGACAATCTCGTGTTAAAATAAAAGCAATAGTTCGGTCCACTAACCTGCATTTTATTTACTATATGAATCCTACAATGATATTAATGTTCAGATATGTGATATTCTATCTCAAATACTTATATTGGCATAATAAGTCTTATAATGTGATAATGTGATAAACCCGAAAACTCTGTATGTTTAATTTAAACATAAACTGATTAAGACCTACATCATATTTCGTTTCGTGTTTTTTGAAAGTTCGAATTTCTTTGTAATAGTTGAGAGTTTATACAAAAGATTAATTTTTTAAAAAATACGAAACGAAATTTAATTTTCTTTACATTCAGATGGGTTTACGCAACCAGCGATCAATTATTTCTCGAATGTATTTCAGTAAAACAGGTGCTATAAATATTATGATGCAAATGTATGTATTATGTGAGGATGTTTTGTATTATATTATCCTAGTATTTAATATTTAATTATTTATATAATTTGCAATATTTATAGTTATATTATTGTACATATAAATGCATATTTTGGCTACCTTTTGTATATATGAAACATAATTTATTTTGTAAATAAAAGTTTATTTATTACCTAAACACATTTTTGATTTTATTATTCTTACTTTATGGTCGATGACTAACTGTTGATTTAAGATCAAAGGATTAATTTCCTCAGCGGAATGCTATTTTTATTTTTCCATGTTGAGATAGGGTTATAAGCCCTTCGATTCCGCCTTCCACAAATTAATGAAATTACGAATATTTGAAATGAAAAGAATGAGCCATAGATCGTATGATTGAACACAGTTTTTGATTAAAATATTCAACCATTCAAGGATGTCCATTGATGTCGACATGCATAATGTTATATTAAAAAAAACTTACAGAAGAAATATGTAGAAAACTATCATACCTGAGCTTGATGTTGTACACATAAATATTTCTTGAGAATAAATTTGAAAAAATGTTGAACTATGTTATATCCACCCTTAACAATGTTAATAACCTCTTATAAAAACATGTTTATGATGTCATTAGCGGTCAGAATGTCATCAGTAATCAGTATGCCAGTGTCGTTAATTAACCTCTAACCCCCGATTGTAATTAATACTATTAACCCATTAATGTTCAATCTGAATGAATTGAACTCAGTTCCCATAAACGTGTTCACATTACTCGTGTGACCAATCATGTATGGTGTCGTTAACCGTTTTAGATTAACCGGAAAACGAAAAACATTTTAGTTCATAAATGGTATATATTGTGTGGGAAGAAGGAAATACAAACTATATATACAATATAATTAACACGATCAGCCAGGAAACTGAAGCCTGTTGTCAATAAATATATTCGTAGTGTTAAACGACGAATCAAATTTACTAATATGGCTGGCAGCAACGCATATTATATACGCCCCAAAATTGTTAAAATCGACCGGTCCTGAAGTAAGTTATGATGATCTAAAGTTTACATTATCATCTATTAGTTTCTCGCCGCCATCTTTATTTCTAGGCATCTGTCTCTTTGGACGACATCTCAACATGGCATTTAACTTACGTTTTTGTTTTACATTACTAAATAAGGAAAATGCAAACTGTGATATGTGATACTTCATATAATTATGGCAAGACGAGGAAAACTAAATATACGTTTAGAAGTCCAAATCCTTTAAATATTTAAGAATTTGTTCAAGACGAAGAGAAAAAAGTTAGATATCTGAAAAAAAAATATGCAGAATAGTATTCATACCTACTTACGAATTATTTAAAGTTAAAATTAATTCTGTAGCCACAAATTCTTTGTACGATTAGGTCTCCATATTACATGTATATTGTTTCTTATGTTGATAGTATTTAGGTGCATTCTGATCAGATATTAAATATTACGATCATATCAGTGTCAATCATATTGTCAACACTAATTAACCTTTCAATTAACTTTCGACCTTCAGTGGCTGATTAAACACTGAACGAATTCCGAGAGACTCCAGGGCCTTTAAGCTTCAATCACACTGAATTCAGTTCAGGAAAACAATGAGAATGACTTTCAAATTTCAACAGGCCGATAAAACATGAAACTTTTATGGGAAGATAATTAAAGGATGTGATAGAATCTGTAAAAACTGCAATTTAGAAGATATTGAAGATGCATATCATATTAATTTAATTTACCGATTATATACCGATTTTAGGAATAAAGAAATACATTTAAACAAAAAAAAACTTGACGGTTTTTATAAACTTATACCATTAATAAATACCGATAAAATTTATGAATTAATTAACTTAGAGAAATTCCTATATGCTGCAAACAAGCAACAAACATAGAAAAACGTTTGCTGTCCTATAAATTCGGGGGGGGGGGGCTGAATGGCCGAATGGTTAGTGCGTGCGCATTGTAGCATGAGGTCTGTCATTGATTCAACTGGCGTAGAGTAGTGTCGGCTGTCCGACCCCGTGGGTTTTCTCCGGGTCCTCCAGTTTCCTCCCACTGCTAAAGACCCCTACGCCCAAGCCAATTATTGAAATAAAGTTGAACCATATGTTAGACTCGAAATGACCTAGTTTGTGTAGAGTGGACGTTAAACCCCATTTTTCTCTCTCTACTCTATAATGTCTACTGTGTGTTTGATATTATCTTTGTTCATAGTGTATTTTATTGCATTGTCTAATATGTCTTTGAATTAAAGGAATAAAGAACCCGAACTTGAGATGGATGTAGTTTAGATCAATTTAGTTTTAGCTTGGATAAATTTAGTATGATCAATTATGACTTATTATTCTTAATGCCAATTTCTTGGGAATTGAACCTAACTACAGTTCATAATAAATAAAGGTAGTTTTTGGAGCAGAGATCGGGTGTCATGTTTTTATATAAACAATATTTTGATCCATTAGAAATTAATTTGAGGAACCGGCTAGCATATGTTGACCCCTGTTCAATTTACACAAATAAATGTAAATAATGTACATACATTTAATCATATTATTGTTTATAATATTAATTTGTGATAATACAGATGTAAAGGTACAACAGAGAGCCCCCCCCCCCTCCTCCTCCTCCCGACACACACACACACACATGCAATGATCAATGAGAACTCCTCAAAATAAAAGTAGGTACGCTAGGTGTTCTAGGTTGGTAAGTATACCCCGTCTCGTGTACGACATTAGTCTATACATATGAAAAATAGAATAAATAAATGGTGGGATGATATGAACTTTACCACCAACAGTGTTAAAATAAGTTTATTTTGTTCAATTGAACGGGCAGTGTGGGCACCGATTTACAAAAGACCTTATACAAACATTAAAGCACGCCATGCCCACTAGCAATCGGATTCGGAACGCAAATCTGGCAACCAACTTTAGTCACGTGGCGTTGCTGGATTTAGACCAAAGCCTGACCATAACAAAAGCAACAAAATCGTAACGCAAAAGATGGGGGTGGGAGAGAAAAACTATGTAAAAACCAGACTTTGCAAAGCTGTCTGCCCGGACCTCACTTCTAATATCCCATGGCGTTAACTCGTACCTACGTCTACCCCTAAAGGGAGCCATGGCGTCTAAGTGGGTAAGACACTGGCATGGCGGTCGCGTGTTGGATCCCTGCATTGGCCGAGAAAGTTCATTGGGATTAGGTGTTCCGGATCAGGTAAGCACATCCAGCTTTTAACAAGAATCCTAATTGATGAATAAATGGCTGAGAACCAGGACTTTAAGTATAAAATATAAAATGTATAAATGAAATGTTGTTTAAGTCCAACATTTCATCATTGAGCAGATTAATGGAAACTGGATAAAATATGTTGTTGTTTATTACAAGGGATAACATACAAACTACTTACGTTTATCAACTGAATCCCCAAAGTACTTGCTATGTTGCTAATATGTTGCTAGTCACACGTGTATAAATAAGGTTTTGAAGGTTTAAGCTAATTTATATCAGCCAGATGTTTATGCTGAACAGATTTTAAAGCCAATATGAAAACATGTCTTTATCGTGCTATTATCAATCAGTATACGACAGTCTTAATTATATCTTTAATTAATGTGACTCGTTTATAAATATTCGACTGGGATTTGAACAGTGTCAAATGGGTTAACACCGTTAACCCTTTATTGCCCAGTCAGTTTGAAACATGAATACTCTTCATATAGATCAGTGGTTCTCAACCTTTTTTGCCAACGGCACACCTTGGAACACATGAAAAAATAGCGGTCACATTGCTTAATATATATGAAAAATATTTGAATTTTGCAAAATAAAAACATGGCAAGTCATAGATGGCATACAACCGTAGACACAGATAGTCCTAGACACATAGAATGATTCAAACTACATAAAGAAAAACACAGCTATGAACTTACCAGTAGACACCAGTGAATACTCAATTGGGATCACGTGGTTTTTCGCATGTTCTTAGTGTGCCGTTCAAAATTTCGTGGCACACTTAGGAAGATCTCCCGACATAGTTATATGCGGCGGCACACTGGTTGAGAATCAATGATATAGATTAAAATCTTTCAAAGGCAGTGTGATATAGTATATTACATTGTCTTTTACAGTCCTATTTACTTAAAGTAAACAAATTATTGTGCGCTGATAGATTGTAAAAAGGCCCTTAAACCTCTAGACAGATCGTCTTTATTTTTGACACTATAAAATGAACTAAGTGGCAGATCTATAATAAACATATATTATGTAAGATAATACGAAATCGACTATAAAACATGACAGAACTCTTTCTAACTGTGAACTTGGTTTCAGCCAGGGCGACCATTTGTCACCGTTGCTATTTGAAATTTTTCTAAACGATTTTGAAGTTTAATTAAGTGGGAATTATAACAGACTGAGAGGAATCGTGAAATATAACCAGTGATGATACGGCAATATTTTCAGAATCAGCCGACAATCGTCAAAGCTCTAAATTCCGGTCTAGCACAGAAATAATATAAATATGTTCAATCCCGAATTTGAAAGAAATATATTTCAATACTATATTAACAGTTTTGAAAATTGGTTAGAGCTATTTTCAGTCGCAGGTGAAGGTGTGATGGACCGTAAATGTTCATCTGAATTATAACGCTCGTTAATAAATAATTATACCCTCCCTCTTTTATTTCAGATTTATATTTCTGCTCAAATATTAGTGACAACAATACAATTGTATTTATCAGAACATTTATTGAACACACTTATTTCATTGTTATTTTCTTACTTTATCATGTATACCTACATTTTTCAAATTGATTTTTAACTAATGGCTTGTTTGAACTAAAAACAAATTGAGTGAAAGATTGTGAACGATGTCATAATATACCCATCTCCCCTTGAACCCCTGGGAGTTATCTCCCCTTAAACAAAAATAGCTAAACGGAAGGCAACCCCAATTCGTCAAAATATAATAATATCTCACATACAATATGAAGGGTTTTACGAGTTTTGCGAATACCAAATAGGTGCGTGACAACAATTACACAGGTTATTTATTAAATCACCTGGATAAAAGAATAAATATAAAATATAAATTTAAAATAATGACCACAAAGCAGGATTTGCGATTTTTGTTGTTGTAAATAAATGTCGATATTGCAATCCGCGGCGGCGATCTTCAATTCAGTCGGAGTTTCTTATTTAGTCTCGGGTTCTGGTTCAGCCCTGGTCTCGGGTTCAGGTTCAGCCCCGGTCTCGGGTTCAGGTTCAGCCCCGGTCTTGGGTACAGGTTCAGCCCCGGTCTCGGGTTCTGGTTCAGCCCCGGTTTCGGGTTCAGGTTCAGCCCTGGTCTCGGGTTCTGGTTCAACCCCGGTTTCGGGTTCTGGTTCAGTCTCGGGCCCAGGTTCAGCCCCGGTCTCGGGTTCAGGTTCAGCCCCGGTCTCGGGTTCTGGTTCAGTCTCGGGCTTAGGTTCAGCCCCGGTCTCGGGTTCTGGTTCAGTCTCGGGTTCAGGTTCAGCTCCGGTCTCGGGTTCAGGTTCACCCGTGGTCTCGGGTTCAGGTTTGCCGGCTGTCTCGGGTTCTGGTTCAGCCCCGGTTTCGGGTTCTGGTTCAGTCTCGGGCTCAGGTTCAGCCCCGGTCTCGGGTTCTGGTTCAGCCCCGGTTTCGGGTTCTGGTTCAGTCTCGGGTTCAGGCCCGGTCTCTGGTTCTGCTTTGGTTTCAGGTTCAGATTGAGGCTCCGATGTAGCTACGGGGTTTGTTTTTGAACCTGAAAAAAAATGGAATTTAAAATATATATCACACATTCTTTTATCCCTTGAAATTATTAATAAAAAGATTGTGTCTCAAATGTACCCCAGGCAATGTCCAAACGTCAACATACTGAGCGCCATGGAAAACGCATCACTTTTTTTCCCAAATATTTTATTACTAGGTGGTTTTGTATGTATAATATTATGCAATACTATGAACTTTTGTTTCACACAATGCTCCCAAACGCAAAAAATATCGGCCCGTGTGCAAAAAAATAAATTGTGCGAGATGCACATGAAAAACCCAATATTCACGCGCAGCATTGTGTGTGAGCCCTTTAAAAGCATGTTTTCAACTTAATGTGCAGTACATGAACTGTGAAACGTCAATCTGTCGTAATTTGTTGTTGGACGTGTGAAGGAATCGAGCTAGAGATGCCGAGACTTACTGAAAATCAACGGAATGAAGCCATGGGAATGTCCAGGGCTGGCATGTCTACACGTGCTATTGCCAGAAACACTTCAATTGTCATCAGTCCACTATTGTAAGGTTGGTGGAACGTGTTCGAGTTACTACATCAACACGTGACCGTCAACGTCCTGGTCCACAACGCGTTACAACCCAGGCTCAAGACCGCTACATCCGGGTCACTCATCTGCGTGACAGATTCCGCCCAGCGACTCGAACAGGTGCAGCAGTCGTCGGAAGACAAGGACCAGTAAGTGCCAACACCGTAAGACGTCGTCTAAGAGTAGTAGGACTCCGTGCACGACGACCTTATGTTGGAGCTATCCTCAGGAATCATCACCGTCAGCGGCGTTTGATATGGGCTCAAGGACACCAGACATGGAGAAGAGTAGACTGGCAAAGTGTGCTCTTCAATGATGAGAGTCGCTTTCATCTTTATCACGCTGATGGCACCGATAGAACATGTCTGGGATGAGATTGGACGCCGTCTGTATCAGAGACAACAGATGCACACCATTGCTGCTTTAGAAGCTGCTCTTGTCCAAGAATGGAACAATTTGCCCCAGGCCTTCTTTTAAATATTGGTTAATTCCATGCGACGTCGCTGCACAGCGTGCGTAAGAGCCTGTGGAGGACACACGCGCTACTGACATCTGTGTCGTACTTTTGGTTTTGACCCCTCTGACTTTGTACCCTTGATTACAGATTAAACATCCATAAGTGTACAAATGTGTTGTTATTGATGTGTTCCCATTTGAATATTGTTCACAATAAGAAGCAAAATAAATAAGATATGTTTAAAGGATCATTTTGTTATACGAAAAACTAAGTGATGCATTTTCCATGGCGCTCAGTATATTTTGAATAAATCACACTTTTAGCAACTTTGATATTTGCTTTCAAAAGAGCCCAACCAGCACGAATTATACAAAATACATAATACAAATATAAATACAAATCTCTTACCACATGACGAACTGGTGTATTTATAAATATTCTCAATATACTTATCAAACAGATTCAATGCGAAGTCACAGCCCTTCAGACAGTTTCGTACTTTTAAGATCGAGCTGGAACAAAGATATAGAGAGGATTATTTAAAAATACATTATGGGAGATTCGATAACGAGTTGGCAGTTCTCACTATAATAGTTAAAAACTAGATAATGTAAAGGCAATTTGCTGAAAATTTCATTCAAATTGATCCACTATGAACCGAGAACAAAGCGATTGAACTTCCGTCTAGCCTTGATCATCATTACTAAAGTCAGTTCGATAAACAGCATAGTCTCGATTATCCATTTAATCGTTAAATCGTGAAGTAAAGTTATGCAGTAAATCGGCTCACAATCCACTAAAGATCGCAGGCTAGCGATGCCATCTAGAGTTGATTATGGTCTGGATAAGTTAATTAATGTCCAATTAATAATTTAGATAACATTTCGGGCCTAAAGAAAGACCCGCAATAGACAGATTTAGCTCTTGCATAATGTATCTTTAAAGGAGACATTGGTGAAGATCACAAATACGTCTCCTAGTATCGTACACACACGTTGTGGATCGTTTTGCTACAATTTTGATATCTGATATGTTATTTTGATATCAATCTTTCCAAACAATCTCAACTGTAAGCCATGTCGAATACACAGCGGACGATCGAAAGTGATGTCATAATTCTTTACTCCCCCAACAATCCGACCTGCCTCGATGCCACTAAGCAACAGGTACTAACTACGCATGTCAGCATTACTATAAATAGATTTTTCCCCAACCACCCCGCTCCACTGCCATACCTACAAAATATAAATTTACCCCCCAACACGTCAAAGAGATATAATAATCCGCTTAACGCCTATTGTCCAGTTTCCAGATTTTCAAAGTCCAGTTATCTTGATATCTTACCGAACCTATTCGATTACAACTGGTTAAACCCAAGTTATGACGTTATATACTTACTCGCAGATATCATCAAAAGTTGGGCTGGTCAACCGAGATAATTGGTTTGTGTATCTGGTACATAGTCGAACTTTTTTAGCCCTACAAGATGGCACTCTGGTCGCGATACTGGTAGATGGTTCTTCTGAAATCATATTTTCAACAAGACAAATGTAAATGATCTATCTCAAAACTAGGAAAACTGCAGAATTAGTTAAAGATGCATTATGCAAGCCAGAGCTAAATCTACCCACTGCAGAATTTTCTTTTGACTCAAAATGTGATACATAAACTAGAATTTAGACATTTATTAACATTACAAGCCTATTATCAACTCTCTAAACTGTCGTATGGCCGAGACTGGATTTAAACATCCACGAGATTTGAAAAATTTACGATAAAATTAATATACAACCGAGGCTAAGTCTCGATTGTCAAGTACCTTTGCTAAGACAATGAACGATCTACGCCATAACGTTGTTCAGAAGAGAGAGAGAGAGAGAGAGCGAGAGAGAGAGAGAGAGAGAGAGATGGTATTAACGTCCACTAGACAAAAACTAGGCCATTTCGGGACTAACATATGGTTCAATTTTATTTCAATAATTCGCTTGCGAGTAGGGGTCTCTAGCAGTGGGAGGAAACCGGAGGACCCGGAGAAAACCCGCGAGGTTGGAAAGGCGAAACCACGTCAGTTGACTCAATGACAGACCTTGTGATACAGCGCGCACGCGCTAACCATTCGGCCATCCACCCCCTTACTCAGAATACAGTAATTTGAATGAAATTTTCAATATATTCACTTTTCATCATCTATTTTAGAATTATTATAGCAAGAACGTCTAGTTCTTTACCCAAATCTTACATAATGCATTTTAAGATACGTTTTGGACACGATACAACAGCAAAAAAAGTAGCTTTGACTTCAATTATACCGTCATTCAGATACTCCCCCCCCCCCCCGCCCCACAATAAAAAGGAACGAAATTAGGGAACTTCTGTCCGGACAACGGCCTTACGGTCCAGTCTAATATCGAATTCACACTGCCAAGGGGTCTGTTATGTGCACTCCAATGAGTATCCGGGGCCTTGCCAGGCCCTGTGTCCTACACAAATGACAAGGGATTAAGGGGTCAACGCAGGGATCAAACACGGGACCTCCAGGTCAGCGAGCCAACGCCTTACTCATTGAGCCACCGCCCCCCCCCCCCATTGGTATAATGTATTGGTATAATTACAGGCAACAGATGACCCGGTCAGCATACTTACTATCACAGGTAATCTGTGCATGCTGTAGAACGATATTAATCGAATCATTAAACGCTTTGGCAGCTACATCACAATTTTTGGTGGTAAAACAAGCTCTAACGTTCTTTATAGCCCTGTAAAAAAAACACAGTGGGAATATTAAAAATATATTTGACTCATTGACAAACATCTTTTTGGTCTCGGATTATTCACTTCATTGAGTGTCTACATCTGAGAAATTACGGGCGTTGCAGTAAATTTAATACTCAATAACATTTATTAAGGTCTGTATAGAAATTTAAGTTTTCAAATATTCTGTGATAACAAAATGGATGTCACGCCCCTTATCCTACTGCCAATCCCCGGGTCTAGCACGGGCATCATATATTTTAACCAACATAATTAAATGTTGGTGTAAGTAACCTGTCTAAAAATATTATTTTCCTAAAAATAACTTCCCGTGTACAAACTGTGTGATTTGATGGATATATTTGGACTAAGAACATATTCAAACTGATTAATCTATCAAATTCCCCCCCCCCCCCAGCTATAAAAAAATCTATTAAAAGAAGGCGATGTTTTTGTCACGTGATTTGGCGTCGCAGTACCTAGCAACGGAGAACTCATTGCACATAAAAGTCAATGTTGTTTTTAATCGCTCTCCATTTATCATAAATGTCGAAGCTTAAGTAAATTCTCGGATTTTCCCGTCCCCACTTTTCCCCGTCCGTTCACCATCTAGTTTATCAACATATACGTCAAGCGCTCCCTAACGCCAAGAGCTCAGACAAACTACGCTTGCAACCTTTGACGTCATTCGAGCCGTCAGCCCTTAATCGTCAGGCTGCCAGTTAGTAACACCCTTTCATTTCCCACTTGTGCTCGCTCTATAAGTGTTTTTCCAGGAATCCAGTATTTTTGTTGTAAGATTGGGTGTCTCTACTTTCCATATATACCAAAATTGCACTACTTTTATTGGAAATAACCACCCGATAAATACTTTTGTGGGAAAGTATCTTTAAATAATTATAATGTCACTTACGTGCATATGTCGACAATTGTAGGACTTGTTAATCGAGCCAATGCCGTGGTATGACGAGTACAATATGTAACTGTTGAAGACGAACATAAAGCTGATACGGACGCCTGCGTACTAACCCCTGCAAGGAGTGAAAAACATATAGTTATATGTATACGTTTAAAGCAATATTTGAATTCTTTTCTATGAAACGTTAACAGAAACCTACCCGGATTGGGTTATTTTATATGCAACAAATATCTATACGTTAATACAATTTTCTGTGACCAATCAAATAGCGCGTAAAACAACTATTAATATATTTAAATACAAGCGTATGTGCCTATGTGTAACCCTCTCTCTGATTTCGATACGTGTACGCATTATAAATATATACATACATACATACATACATGATTACATAAACATAAAACACATATGATACATAATAGATAAAATTATTTAGCGATAGGAAAAAACACAGACGACATCAACACCATTATCAACAACACACACACAAGAAATCATAGTCGCGCAAAAAGCGACGTAAGCGATGTGAGCATGGTCGGACCAAGGAATCCATCTGCTAGTCGCCCTACGATGCCATGACCCCCCATCGGATTTTCAAAGTCCTGGACATTGGCGGTTGACATCCGAGAATTCGGTGTTATCCGGCGATGCTGCGTCGTACTTTCGACTGGTATCGGTGTTCTGTTTTTTGTGTATTTAGTGGGAAAAATGTATCAAGAAAACACATTAAAACTCCGTTTAGCGGCAATATTTTGGCTACAACTTGTGCTACTAGGAGGCGTTTTCAAGGTAACTGAACTAATTTGTATTCGAGGTTTGAACGCAGAATCTGTGAAAAATGTCATTGACGAACTACAAACGTACTTTTTTCTTTTTGTTGCCAATGAATCGATAAACGTTTGTTTCTGGACTCGTATTCTTCGACGGTTAATCCATATTATTATTTGATGTGTGTAATATGTGTAGTTTTTGTATAGACTACATTACTTGTGATATTTCGGATTTCGGTTCCAACGCATTTGGTAAGGCTATGGGATCAGGAATTTTGCGGGGATTGACATACGTAATTGTTGTTAGCTATATAATGTTTCCGGGCATACTTCACATCATGATTCGTAACGTTATGGCCTTCGCGGATATGACTCTCCGTTATAACAAGGTCTCCAGGTTATTTATCACTGACCGACTTCAAACTAGGTTTGATGTAGTTACACGACCATTTGTGTTAGGTTGGGTCCACCACATGCTCAAGGCCCCAGGACCCCCACCATGGTTGATCAATAATATATGTTTTGTTTAAGATTCGCAATGAAAAGCATCCATATGGCTTTGCCAATCTTTACACGAGATTCAATCCTAAGTTTATTTCGCTGTATCTATCTATCTATTCTCCCCCAGACAATCTAATTCAAAGTTATATTTTTAATTCCTTTCGTTTTTCGTTTTTCATTTCTATACGCCTACAGCTAGACTGGGTGTTTATAATGGTCAATGCGATAAAGTCAATACAGTTTTTGACATATCAATTTCAGATTTAGTGTGAAGATTTGTGGGCATGATAGGATAAACCCTATTGATTTTTAGCGGTCTGTGACCTTCCATTCCAGATTTGTTTACGTTTTACTGAAAACCCTGTGAACGTGCATGAGCCTACAGTTTTTAACAGATTTATTTTACATTTGTGAACACGATAGACGTCAAATTTCTTAAAGCTACGATCCCAGAAAAATATTTATTTCCAATAAAAGTATGGCAATTTTGGTATATATGGAAAGTGGATATATTCAATCTTACTAGAAAAATACTGAATTCACTGAAAAACACTAATGGAGCGCATACAGGACAAAAATGTAAGGGTTTCCCTAATCGACTTCCCGACGATTAGGAGTGTCTGCACGCGTGACGTCGAAGGTTGCACGCGGAGATTGAGCTCTTGATGTACATTTTGATAAACTTTATGAAGAATAAGACGTACAACACTTTCTGAGATAAAAATCACGGAAAAAGACGCGTGCAGTGGATAATCCGAAAATTTAATTAGGCTTCGATATTTGTAATAAATAGTCAGCGATTAAAGACAACATCGTCTTGTGTATGCAATGGATTCTCCTCCGACTTCGCTTGCGGTGCTAGGTACTGAGAGAGGTAAGTCACGTGACACAAACATGACCTCAGTTGATCGATTTTTTTTATAGCAAAAATTTTGATAAATTAATTCGTTTGAATATGTTTTTAGTCCAAATATATCATCAAATCAGACAGTTTGTACCCGGGAATGTATCTTTATAGGATCATGTCCTTATCAAATTTGGTCAACATCCATGCATTCCTTTCAGGTAGGCGTATATCCACACATTCCAAGCGGCCGTCGACAGTAAAATCAATCTGATTAAAATACAGATCTTTATTTCGTTTCGTTTTTTTATACTTTCGATGGCCTACACTACATGAAGATCTGACAAATTATAGCGATAGGTCACGTCAGGGGTCAAAAGACCGACTTATGACCCTATGACGTCAGACATTTGATTATCAACCAATCAGCATTGATGTTACTAGTGGATTACCCACAGTTCCGTGAAAAACACGACCTAAAGCTCACCGTAACAGACCGTTTCATTGGCTTATCCATGACACCATACAGAACACGAGTTAAAGACCACCCTTCCAGATCCAAGTGTAGTAAAGACAAGTAAAACGAAATTTTGAACTATAAAAACGAAACGAAATAGGATCTGTGTTTCAACCAGATTGACAGTAAAATATACAACGCGGGATGAGAAACACGAAAAGAAATTGAAAAAATATTTGATTTTAATCATTAAAAGAAAATTTGTAGATGCAGTTTAATTAAGATTAAACATTCATTTCTTTTGTTTCCCTTTTCTTTTGTAGGCTCCGTTTCACCTGGGCCTACAGAGATATTTCCTTTATAATGCTCATTTGAAAAAGCATCGAATATAGAGCAAATGTTTTGGGTAAATGAATATGATATTATAATCGCATTTAGTTTCCCGAGGAGAGTGCCAATGTCTATTTAAAGTGAATGTTCGGTGAAATGCGCGAACAGTTCAAATTGAACAACAGTCGTTTGCGACTATTTTATTATTACTATTATTTTGTCGTTTGTGATTTAGAGATTTGCAATTACTTCAGCATTTTTTTCTAGGTTCATTACAAATGACACTCGAAACAAGAATACATTGTGTACTGATTTCAAAATGTTCATTATGTCTTAAATATCGGATATTAGGATCATATATTTTCATAGCAAGATAATAATATCAATATTGATTGAAATGGACTATTATTGAATCAAATGTTAGTCCCAAAATCACCTAGTTTGTGTCGAGCGGACGTTAAACCCCATTCTCTCTCTCCTCTCTCTCTCTCTCTCTCTCTACCCATTCTCGGAAGGGTTATTAGAAGATGTACATCCAGCAACATTCGGCCATACGCATCTTGATGTCTCCACACTCCAGTGTAGTCCACCAGGACAAACGTGTTCCACTAGACTTCCGTTGGAACATTGTAGAAATTTCGTACAGTCGGAATGTGGACGATATTCACCATGTTGGCATGCTGCTACGGCATCAATCACAAATAGTGCTGAATACATAATAAAATGATTAAATGATTCATTGGCCAGAGTAATTCTACACAAAAAGCTGATTTTTAAAGATAAATAAAGCATTATTAATTATACATGGTTTAATGCTAAATGATGCCAATGAATGGTACAAACAATCCGAATATATACAGTTACAATATTCATTGTCCAATCAACATGGTCGTAATAAAGAAATGGTGGCAAAATGTTTTTTATTTCTCAGAATCAAGGGATGAATAAACTACTAGACTGCAAAATTTCATAAGCCGCCTTTGTTGTATTGTATTCAGGACGCTTATTTCACACAAAATATTATTTTATATCCAAGTGGACCTTCCATATTAACATCTATCTGCATAATAAGTTTATGAAAATATGCATATGCATTTAAACAACATTTAGATATTATCTACCACCTGTAGCACTTTCCCCTCAAACTAGCAATAAATTGTTTATTGGAATTTTCTATTAAACAGAAACGTTCTTGTCGCTGTAAAATACTCGATCAATATACCAAGTGTTAATTTATATAATAATTTAAAGCATACACTATTTAACACCACATCTTTCTGCATGAAATGACAATAAATTGCTTTTTGAATAAAACGGAACATACTTTTCTTTCGTTATTGTAGCTGTAAAATCATATATACGAATTATTATTTTATATAGCGTATTTCTACTGATGATTAAAGTAATCAGGTACCGCAGAAATTTGCAACACGTTTTAACATCCAATGAACAAGAGTATATGGTAGTTTCAGGGCTCCCAAAACTAGTTTAGGTTCTTAAGTAATTTGGTGTCCCCGTTTAATCATGAATTTATGTCGTTTTTGATGAATTGCTAAGGTTGTCGCAAGTTAGATGTGCAGAAGCTAGAAACACCAAGATATACTCTATAAAGCACAATTTACAGTCAGTTTTTCTAAAGAAATTTTGCGCCTATTCGAAGAGAACACCACCGGACCCCCACCCCCCATCTTACGAAATAGCTATTATGAAAATACAATTTTTGAGGGGGTTTCTTTTGGTCCAATTCGTTATTTCAGCACATTTCGCCTCTTATCACCATTTGTGTTTGAAGAATGTAAAAAAAGAGTTATTCTCCCACCACTAAAACACACTGAACCTTGTTGAAGACCGCCATATTGAATTATGTTAATTACGTCATTTCGCCATGGCCGAATTTGAGTATGGTGTTGTCTGATATATGTATCATTGAACCAAACTTTATTGGGGTTTTTTTTTTGCAATTCGATTTGGGGTAAAACGCTATCCTTCCCATACGCGACTTCATAGGTTGCACGCAATGGTGACGCGTCAGCTAAGTCACGTGACACAAACTGACAAACATGACTTCTGTTAATACATTTTTTATTGCGTGGGGTATTTCCTCGTGAATACAATGTTTTGAGAAGGATTTGAAGAAAAATTTAGTTTGATTATGCGTTTAGTCGAAATATATCATCAGATCACCCAGTTTGTACCGTGGAAGGTATCTTTAATGTGTCTTAAATTATTATTTTCTAATATAAAGGTAACAATTATTACCGTGATAAATATAATACATGTAGATAGGTTTTTTATTAGCGCTAGGAATTTCGAATCCGGGTGCTGGAATATGGGTGAGAAATACCGCTCGGTTGTTAAGATCATATTTTTATACTAACTACCAACATGTACATCATTGTCTTGATAATGTAATCATTCATTTAGAACCATGTCAGTTTGGCTTTGAAATATCCAAAAATGGTCTGGCTCCGCAATTCAATGTTCAAAAGTATCCCTATGACTTTATTGGCTAATATATGCAAAGTCGTTCTGTATTTGCAGAGCCAATGAGTATATCCTGCTGTTCATTTTGTAAATGTATGATTGTCAAATTGGGTATTGAGTTTTCGTGAAAAATTAATAAAAGTTTAATAATAAGTGTTATTTTTTATTTTTTTATTTTTTTTTTTTTGACGTCATAGGGGAATAACCTACCATGTGGTGAGTGTCCACCCAAGTCCAAAATACTGACTAAGCTACCTACTAAACTTTTCTTCAAAGAAATTCTCCCTACTCAAACTTTCCTACAGAACCAAAGTGAGATCCAGGACTATTATTGGTCAATTGAAATCAACATTGGCGTTGTTATTGCCCTGAAGGCTTCTGATATCCAATATTTAAGGCAAAATGAAAATTTTAATATTGACACACGAATCGCGTGCCAGAATGCTTTCCAGTGCCATTTGTAATGAAGCTACTCGATGAACGAGGCTAAACATGACCCACAGGAGAATACTACCGGTGTAGACTGGAATAACAAGACGCCAAAGACTGTCATTAAATTTGGACTCTTCGCGTATTTCGACGCACATAAATGATATGAAATTACGGTAAAAACAGAAACGACTGAATGTAAATCTGTTTATATAATTATAAATCATATTACATTATTATATGCGATTTGACACATTTGTGTCCATTTCTAGTTGCCAAAGAATAGCGATTTAGCTCCCTTAAATCCATTACAAGTGGGAACATCGCTAGAAAATCTCAAGTTACTTTTTCGGCAAAAACCGGGATTCAAATTCGATCAATGGAAATTAAACAGGATCTGTAAAAGGGTTACGATTCGTTTCTATCTAATTTTAAACATGATATTTGATCGGAATTTAATGTATTTACCTGGCCTTTATTAACCTATATCGGACAGCAGTACGTTTCTTTAGTTTCGAATTCAATAGGCCTACCTCAAACTGCGAAATTTACAAAAATCATGTAACATCCCCTAGTGCTAAATATTTTTTTTTAGGTAAAATATATTCCCTTTGTAATTATCTGTGAATATTGGTACCGTACACTTGCTATAGTTCTAGTATAGGCGGGCCAAATTGAAAATTAAAACTAAAAGTATGTACTTCCAGAATATTATACTCGTCCGTTTGATTAGCTCAGTAGGAGCAGAACAGTAGGCCGTTAAACCCCATTTCATTTCATTATATTTTTTTTTTCTTTTTTCTTTTTTTTTTTTTTTTTTTTTTTGAAGGAATGTGAATTATTTCCAAAATCACTTACTTCATAATTTTCAACAAAATTATGTTTAAAATTGTTGTACCCTTCAATCAAAACAAAAGTAATTAAAGATATTTTTGATTGAAAAGAACAATAAGAAGTCAATAATAAATTAATAAGAAAAGAGAAATTAATTTTATAAATAAAATATTTTTGTAATATTAAACTTCTTACTCACCAATTATTACAAAAGCAATTATAATATTTTTCATTTTGATGTCCATGTTGCTAACATATAATCCAACAACGGAAAATTCAAGAGCCCTCTCTTGCAACTGAGGGATCGACTATTGTTAATAATATTTTCTATTCGATACTTATTTAAACTCATAAAAAGATAAAAAAAAAAATCCACTGGGTGTGTCTTTTACGAGAAAAGCCGGGCTTGCGCAGTTGCATCCAAATAGTTCAATTGCAGATGGGGCAAATTATTTAATGGTTAAAGTGAAGGTCTGTCTATTTACTAATTTTAGTTGTTAATTTTTATTTCTAGACTAAAATGAAGACTGTTGAAATAAGAATGAATTTTACCTCTACATCTGCCCTGTCTGTGGAGGTAATATTTTAAAATGCAAACACCATCCTAAGAATACTTAGTTAAATTGTCTGTTTTAAGTTTTTTCCGAAACGAAAGCTGTCAAGCCAGTTTGAAGAGGTACATGTATTTGTATTTTCGTCAGACAGCAAATTTTCATTTATAATTTGACTATAATTTAATTTTTTTTTTGGGGGGGGGGGGGGGTGCTGCGCTTTAATTCATATTGCATACAAAATTTTGCTTTGAAACAATCATCACAAAGATAAATATGTTTTAAGATTTAATTTACGGGTCTATAGAGTTTCATGAATACGTGAGATGTACTATACTCTTATTGGGGGTAGGGGTGGGTGGGGGGTGGATTTTAGCAATTGGGCGAATCTAATATTTTTTTAAATATTACATTTAGGAGAGGGATTAAATAGGCTATGACTGTTATCAAACTCTATTCAATTTGAATAAAATATTGTTCATAAAACAAAAGTCCTCCCCAAAAAACAACAACATTTGTTTCTTTTGTGAACGTGATAATGTCACTTTAAATAAACTGACGTTTGTAGATATTTTTCACACTGTTATGAGTATATCGGGATGACTTATTTCCAAGAAATGGATTGAAATCACCGTTATGTTGAAATCACCGTTATGTTGAAATCAGGTATTTAATAACAGTAAGGGTTATATCCGGGTTATATTTTGTTTGTATACAATCATAATTGTTATTTACCAATACCGGGAATATTTCTTTCAAATCCCGAACAAATGAATAGTTAAATAGGACAGCGCGACCGGGTTATTATTTTATAGTCAGTGGAAAATTTCGCTGTACTCACTAGTACATAAAATAATTGACTGTTTCGGACACATACATTTAATTTATTCTAGGTTATATTGTGAAAATATATTAAAATTACATAATTAATAACGTTTTGAATATATCGCTATAATTCCCCTGTTTAGAATAAAAAGACCCCGTTGTTTTGTTTATTGGTTTTGATTTACACCCAGCGAGTCTACTATATAATACTACAGTTTCTGTACGTCTGTATCTTCAGGGGGCGGGGGTTGGGTGTTCTAGTGGTTTAACGCGTGCGCGTGAAATCATAAGGCTGTCATTGAGTCAAGTGGCTTGGTTTCGATTCCTTCGCGTTGCAAGTAGCAGGGTCGCCTGTCCGATCTGGAGGGTTTTCTCCGGGTCCTCCGATTTCCTCCCAGTACTATTGAAATAAAATTGAACCATATGTTAGTCTCGAAATGACATAGTTTGTGTCCAGTGGACGTTAAACTCCATTTCTCTCTATCCCTCTCTATTCTCCGGGGAGGCGCTGTGGCTTAGTGAGTAAGACAAAGGGCCTGACAAGGAACAACATCGGATGGGACGAAACAAGTCCCGTGTACACGTTAAAAAAAAAACCTTGACAGAATTCGAAATATGAGTAGGCCGTAGTACCGCTCTCCGGCCAATATGTATTGTTTAATGGTCGAGAGCGAGACATTAAGTAATATACTATTAAAAAAAAGTAGGGGATATTTGATTTTGGGGGCATAATACTAAAATATGCAAATGACTACGAAAAAAGTCACTATAGAACCTAACAGAAGAAACATTTCCAGTTACATGTGACGCCCAAACGCACCAATAGCTACCGCATGGAATGCAGGTGATGCTTGGGATCATCATGGGGGTCCAACCCAAGATTTGCACGACTCTGACTTTGAATGTTACAGTCATTGTGGCATTGAATTCCAGGGTGGAAACATCAGTTTAATTGTTTTAGTGACCAGAAAACAAATTTTGATATGCGTCGGCTTACCAAAAATGAAAGGTTACGTGCCCTTGGCATGCTACAGATCGGCACAACACAGGCGGTTGTGGCGCGGACGATGAATGTTTCTCAGTCTGTCATAAGCAGGCTATGGTCCAGATACCGTGATACACAATCTGTACAGGACAGACCACGCTCAGGTCGACCAAGGGCGACAACTCAAGCCCAGGATCGATTTATCCGTACCTTGGCCTTGAGAAATCGTGTCATCACAGCAAATCAGATCAGCGCTCGTCTTAAAACAGACACTGATGTGAGAGTGAGTGGCCAGACGATTCGGAATCGACTGCATAGGGGTCACCTTCGCGCCCGACGTCCTCGCGTGATCCCTTGTTTGAGAGATCATCACATTCAGGCAAGACGTCGTTGGTGTAGGGATCGTCAACACTGGGATAATCGACGCTGGAGCAATGTGATGTTTTCAGATGAGTCAAGGTTCACTGTTGATTTTTTGGACAGACGTAGGAGGGTGTGGCGTCGTCGAAACGAGCGCTTCCAAGACGTTAACGTCATCAGACATGATCGATTTGGGGGTGGTTCTGTTATGGTGTGGGGAGGCATCACTGTTGCTGGAAGAACGGCTTTACATGTTGTTGCAGGGCGTGTTACAGGCCAGTACTACCGGGACAACATCTTGGCAGTCCATGTTGTGCCGTTCGCACGACGTCATGGCCGCCGTTTCATCTTCCAGGATGACAACGCAAGATGTCACAGGGCCAGGATCGTTACAGGTTACCTCCAACAACAGAACATCACCACATTACCTTGGCCAGCACTGAGTCCCGACCTCTCCCCCATCGAGCATGTCTGGGACATGCTTGGACAGAGGTTACGTCAACGTCAACAACGTCCTGCCAATGTCCAAGAACTTGCTGCTGCGTTGCAACAGGAATGGGACAATCTGGACCAAAATGACCTTAGACGTCTCATTAGGAGTATGCCACGTCGGATCAATGCTTGTTTGGCAAACAGAGGAGGATTTACCCGTTACTGACTTGGTTGTGATGCTGTGGTAACTTTGCTGTTTGACCCCGGGTATCATTTTACCCTTATAATGGTCAGTCTGTGCCTTACTTAGTCTAACGATCATTTGGAATAAATCGATGAATGTGAACTTTATTTCATTTTGTCATTTGTTTCTTCGTCAGTTTCATTAGGTGACTTTAATAACACTTAAAAATCAAATATCCCCTACTTTTTTTGAATAGTATATATTGTAACAACATGAGGGCCGTAGGCCCGAATGTTTTTACAATATATTACGCAATGTCGTAAGCTCGAGACCATTAAACATCTTAAAATACTGACACTCCGCACGAGCTTTTACGTCACACTAGTCCAATATCTCACTGGTATGAATAAAGTACTATTGGCAAGTTGCCCGTACGATTATTTGAAATAATGGTATGCCAACATCAAAGGGTGACGTCACATCTGTATTTTAATCCCTCATAACACACTGTATGGCGTATGTCCGTCTTCATTAGCCAAGTCGGAGCAGAACTCTAGGACGCAAAATCCCATGATGTTTTATTTTTGTATGCCGAAATTTATGGAAGAATAACGTTGCCAATATGATTTCAATGTTTACGGTGCAAACTGCACATATCAGCAGTTCAAAATACTTAATTCATTTTTACAATGTGCAATTTCTATTGCTCCACAATACCAATATTACAGTGTTAAAATACACAATACACTTTTCAATAATACAATTACTGTATAATAGTTATTGCACATTACACTTTTCGATCCTGCATTATAGACAAATGCATAATAGAGCTCAGCATAATATTAGAACAGTAGAACGTTAAAGTGGCTAAGTCTTTAACTCAATATCATCTAGTCTCGGTCAGCCAGAATCTCCTAGTCTTCAACGTACGGAGGGTCCGGGACCGTTGTCAATATTTGACGAAAAGTTCCATAGCCCATGCGTAATCGGGAGTTTTTTTTATGTATTTGATTAATCAGTATCGTTGGCCAAGTCAAATAAGATTTACGCCCCTTCCCGCAATAAATCCCATAATTCTTGCATTATTATTAACAAACATGAATCGTGACGACGAATTAGAATTACCCCCCCCCCCCCCAATAGAAACAATAAAAAAACAACATAGATGTTGTGATCTTACCGGGAAAAGATGGGCTTTGAAATTCAATATTTAAGACAAAATAAACATTTTACCATTAGTACACGAATCGTCTACCATAATGCGTTTCAGCGCCATTTGTAACAAGGGGGGAGCCACGGTGGCTAGGTGGTTAAGACGCTGACTCGCTAGCCTGGAGGTCGGGTGTTCGATCCCTGCATTGGCCGAGAAAGTTCATCTGGATTTTCCGACGTGGTTTCCCCTTGTCAGTGGTGCAGAACGGAGGGCCTGACAAGAACAGCTGTCTAGTCCTTCGGATGATACGAAAAACCGAGGTCCCGTGTATACATTGGAATGCACGTAAAAGATCCCTTGGCAGTTGGAATTTGATATAAGAGTACTGTTGGCGAAAGTGCCGCTGCCCGGGCAAAATTTCCCTCATAGCACACTGTATGGCGTATGCCCGTCTTCATTAGCCCAGTATAGGAGCAGAACAGTAGGACGTTAAACCCCATTTCATTTCATTTGTAACAAGGGACACGAATATCGAGGCTAGACATAATCCACAAGTCGTGTCAAACGTTGACCCCATATTCTTATCTGAAGAGCATGCACAATAATTACTATCGTTGTAGACTGGACTGACCAGACGCTAGAGATTGTCATTCGATTGAGACTTCTGACGTATTTCGCCGAACATAACTGATTAGAATTTACTGCAGTAAAAACAGAAACGATTGAATGTAAATCAGTTTATATACATTCATATTACATTATAATATGCGTTGCGACCCATTTGTGTCAATTTCTAGGTCCAAATATTAGCGATTTAGCTCTTTTAAACCCTATTTCATTTCTTTTTCCTGGGCGTTTTCTCGGTAACTATTGCCGTGATTTAACTGACTTCACAACCGTGATGGCGTATTTTTATTGGTCTATGGCAAGTGGTCATAAGGACACGTAATTATACTTTTATGCTAATTACATTCCCATAGCAATTCTTCTTCTTCTTCTTCCTTGAGGTTTAACGTCCGCTTCCACCTCCGCAAGCCATATCAATACCAACAAAACAAAGTTTTATACCCCACCCTATTATGGCAGTATATTAGACTCAAAATTCTAACATGCTATCGTCTAATTTCTAACTTCTATTCATGTAATCTCTAACTTCTATGTATGTAATTTCTAACTTCTATTCATGTAATTTCTAAATTAAGACAATGTATAATCCAACTTCTTTCTTTGTTCCGTGTAAATTTTAATTATATTTCATCTTATTTCTGTTATTTAGATGGAAATGCCTTCTTCATTGAGGCTTTAGATGTTAAGCATGACAGTCAAACAAATTTAGAATTTTGATACTTCTACTTAGCAACCATCATTATGACGTCGTTTGGTGTCGCCACCGTGTGATCGGGACCATTATGTTGATGCCAACGACTCGCTCTTCTTCAGGTTGAATGGTTTGGCGGAGTGTTGAAATTGAAAACAACATCGAACGTGACATGGTTTGCAAATTGAAATACTATTTCAAATATAAGCTAAACCGCAAATTTTGTTTAGCTTGTATTGGAAATAGTATTTGCCAACCATATCACGTTCGATGTTGTTTTCAATTTCAGCATCGATTATCGGTTCGGCAGTTGTACGTGACAAGGAGTAGTGTGGCCGGGTCCAACCTCGTTGGTTTTCTCCGGGTCCTCCTAGTTGCTCCCACTGCTAGACCCCTCCTCGCGAGCGAATTATTGAAATAAAATTGAACCATATGTTAGTAATTAACGAAATGGCCTAGTTTGTGTCGAGTGGTCGTTGAACCCCATCTCTCTCTCTCTCTTCGTCTGGAAATGAAATGGGGTTTAACGTCCTACTGTTCTATTCCGAACTGGATAAATGAAGACGGGCAAGCGCCACACAGTGTGCTATAATGGAAATTTTGCCAGAACAGCGGCACTACGGTCTACTCTTATATTGAATTCCAACTGTCAAGAGATCTTTTACGTACACGCCGATGTGTACACGGGACCTCGGTTTATCGTTCCATCCGAACGACTAGACAGATGTCCTTGTCAGGCCCTCCGTGCTGAAATTGGGAGAGAGAGAGAGAGAGAGAGAGAGAGAGAGGAAAAGAGAGAGAGGGGAAAAGAGAGAGAGAGAGAGAGAGAGAGAGAGAGAGGGGGGGTCAACGACCACTCGACACAAAATAGGTCATTTCGTTACTAACATATGGTTCAATTTCATTTTAATAATTCGCTTGCGAGGAGGGGTCTAGCAGTGGGAGCAAACGGGAGGACCCGGAGAAAACCATCGAGGTTGGACCGGCCACACTACTCCTGGTCACATACATCCGCCGAACCGGGGAATCGATGCTGAAATTGAAAACAACATCGAACGTGATATGGTTGACAAATACTATTGCCAATACAAGCTAAAAAAACATTTGCGGTTTAGCTTATATTTGAAATAGTATTTCAATTTGCAAACCATGTCACGTTCGATGTTGTTTTCAATTTCAACACTCCGCCAAACCATTCAACCTGAAGAAGAGCGAGTCGTTGGTATCAACATAATGGTCCCGATCACACGGTGGCGACACCAAACGACGTCATAATGATGGTTGCTAAGTAGAAGTATCAAAATTCTAAATTTGTTTGACTTTCATGCTTAATATGTAAAGCGACAAGAAAGTAGACATTTTTCGTCTTAATAATAGAAATAAGATGAAACAGAATTAAAATTTACACCCAACAAAAAAAGAAGTTGGATTATACATTGTCTTAATATAGAAATTACATGAATAGAAGTTAGAAATTACATGAATAGAATGTTAGAATTTTGAGTCTAATATACTGCCATACCCTATTAGCACCAACTCACCAAGCACTACTCTGGGATTCAAACGTAATCTATTTGTTCACATGACATAGTTGGAATTATTGGCTTGGATTTCACCATTACACAATCGCCGGTAAATTTAAGCAATATTTCTTAAAAATTGAAACCCTTTTCTAAAAACTTAATTCACCTTCAAACTCCACGTTACGCTCCATTTCATCCGGATAAACAACAACACAGAGCTGTTTTATGTGTAATTGCGCAACAACAAACCCAATGGAAAATTCAGCTACCAACTTGGTCATTATTATTGGACGATTACAAACTGTTTCGGTCATTAAGCGATTGGCGTTCTTGTCAACTAGATCTGTAAATATTAGAATATTATTTACGATAAAGAGTCAAGATGAAGAATATATTAATAATGTTTGTGTTTATTGGTAAGTAAATTATACCTCTTTCTATTTTATGTAATTTATTGTTAACACGTTATATAATAAAGTTTTTGTCGGATTTTATTCAAATTGATAATTTATACTGGGACATCATACAAGCAGAGGGGTTTTACTCTGGAAAGTAGGAGAAAGTTATTTTCTATTAAGAATTGTGTCCCTTGGTTTACGAAACATTGTTAACACTGTAGAATTGTTGCACGGTAAACGTCTTTAGCTTAATGAATAAAAGAATATTCTTGTTGCCCTGGTATTAAGATAATTGTGTTTTGTATTTAATTGAAAATATAGATTTGAAGAATTTTTGGAAAATATCCAAATGTTTACTTTTGCCACGACGCTTTGGTTTTGGATCTGTTTATTTTTTTCTTTTTTGTTTGTTTGCGTATTTATATTTCGTATTTATATATATTGATATATATTATACTATTTCACTTGGTGGAAAATGTTAAATGAAATATGTTTATTAAAAAGTAGAATAAATTAGGAGATAAAGTAGAGTTTCCCGCGTTATATTTAGTGGAGAGAAATTCTTCTCACTTTGATATTTTGGACTATCTGTTGTCTTGCTGCACTGTCTAATGGACAGTTCCCGTTCTCTGAATAATGTTTACGTAACTTCATGTTTAAAATTTAAATATTTAATTTTAAATATTTAAACATTGAATTTAAAAAAATAACTAACAGACTTTATTTTTTCTTTAAAGATTTATATTAATAACAATGAAGTCATATTTTGTTTTAAAACTTTATACTTTAATATAACTTAATGTGTCGTTATAGCGCTATAAATTCAGAATATAAATTATTATGGTGTCTCCATATAGATGTAATCCAAAATAAATAACACATTAAACAGTAAAATAAATTTCGAGATGAAACAAAACTTCTTGTATGTTGAAATTTAAGCTTTATTCTAGATCGCAAAATCCTGGATAACTTCATTGAACTGCAAATTACCATTATTTATTACAAAACACGTTAACACAGAGTTTCTCATATGGAATACAGATATCTCTTAAAATCAACCATTTACTATGTACATTGTTAGCAATGTAAATAATTACCATTATCCATTACATGGCAAATGTTATTACCATTACCAATATTTTAAAATATAATCGTTACAATTTATTTCTTATAGTTAGCAATGTAAATAATTAAAATGATCCATTACATTACAAATGTATAATTAAGTGGCACTACCAATATTTCTTAAATGTCGTCGTTACAATTTCTTTCTCAGTTTTAGCAATGTAAAAATTTATTATTATCTATTAAATTGAAAATGTAATTAATTACAATTACCAATATTCTAAAAATATAATCGTTACAATTTCTTTCCTATTGTTGAAATTAGTGATTGCATAAAAAATGTAATTAATTACCATTACCAATATTTCTTAAATGTCATCGTCCCAATGTAAATAACATTATCCATGACATTGAAAGTAAATAAATAACGCAATTCTAATTACTCTTTAACATTGCATGTTACTAAGTAATTGAGTATATACATTATATTACGAAATTACACGAGTTATGGATGATTTCAGGACGAATATGTAAAATACGTTTGGTCTCAGGTAATTGTTCAATTGCTTATCCGAAGTCCACATTGCAGTCGATATAATATAATATAATAATAATAATCTTTATTATCATGTATCAAAGTCCAATTTTTCATAAGCATTTTCGGGAATAAACAAGATGAATTAAAATTTTCTTAAGAAATTAGAAAATAGCGAATCAGAATCTCTTTTAAAATAGCTAAGTCTGTAACTCAATATCATCCAAAACCTCCGACATTGAAAACACGAATTATTTGTCAATTTAAATCAACATTGATGTTGTGATCTTACGGGGAAAAGGTGGGCTTCTGATATCCATTAATTAAGACAAAATAAACATTTTAGCGTTGGTACACGAATCGTGTACCATGTACCATGGTGCATTTCAGCGCTATTTTTAACAAGGGACTCGTAGAAAGAGGCTAGATATATTCCACAAGTCATGTCAAACGGTGACGCCATATTCTTATCTGGAGAGCATGCGCAATAAATACTATCGGTATAGAGTGGAGTAACCAGACGCTAGAGATTGCCTTTCCATTGAGACTTCTGGCGTATTTCGCCGAACATAACTGATTAGAAATTGCAGTAAAAACAGAAACGATTGAATGTAAATCAGTTTACATGTACATGTATATACATTCACATTGCATTATTATATGCGTTGCGACGGTTTATTCCCGCGAAGGCGCAGTTATTGACCGTAACGGATTCCCACACCCACATTTACGCCCCTGTGTACAGATATAAAGCGGTCGCTTTGTAATATGTCACAAAAAAATGCTTAAATCATTTTAATTCTAAGAATAATCTGCAATAATTTATTCTCGCTTAAACCTGCAGTCAACATGTCAAGAAGTTACCGACATTCGAATTAAATGCGCATTAAATCAACATATAAATCGATCTGTATAATTGGCCTAGAAAGGTGAAAAGCTTTTTATGATTGCGCAAGATTGTTTACTCAAAGTGAAAGTGTGTCAATTTCAAGTCCGGTTGCCACACACTATCTCAATGGATTAAATGAGTTTCTATACTTACCTTGTAGATATGGGGTGTAAAGGTGCCCATAAGGGTTTAAACTGAATTAAATTCAGAATAAAGTCTTATTCCGGATTTAGGCGTCACACTCAGTTCGCTTAAATTTGAACTGAATCTGAAATAGCAAGTCTATATATTTTTCCGAATTGAATCTTGAACAACTCTTCCGAATCAAGTTATTCGCAGTCAAAATTTGAGTGTGACTCGCTTGATTTAGATCAACGGGTTTACCTTAACCGAACAACTTTGCGCGCATGTTCATGTCTACTTCCATTTTTTCGCTTGGGCCAATATTCTGCAAATAAATAAAAAATATTCCAACTTAAAATGTCCGCCCAGCCAGAAATAGCATGCGCACTCCGTCTCACGTGATCACACGTCAATTTCCATATGGCTTTAATATTAAAAAAGCGTAGTAGCACTGCCTTATGAAGCGATAGGCGGCGTTAACGTGTGCGATATTTGGCGAGATTTCACCTGGGTGGTGTCATGGCGACTTGAACATTACAAGAAATATCGCTTCAAAATATACAGTCGTTTGGACATGAACGTCCAAACCGCTAATCTGGACGCGTAACCCTTTTAAGATTTCGGGTCAATTTTTTTCGTTGGGTGACCTGATAATCTATTGCCATTCCTTTAGAGGTTTATACAGTGCATGCCCCACGTGCTGTAGTTGATAACGAAAGGTAAATTTCAACTACATGTTATTTTTATAAAAAGAAAGACATGGTTTTACACAGACACTGTATAAAAGGGGGGTTTATACAGAGCGCGAACGCGAACGCGGCTTTTCGTCCTGGAATGCTCTAGTCATTTTTAGAGGCCCCGTTCATACAGAGCGCGAACCCGAACCCGAACAAATATTGGTTCGCGCGAACGACCGCCTTGATTGCCTCCCGAGCGAATTTTTCAGAAGTTCGCGCAAACTTTTTCCCAATGAACCAATAAGCGGGCACTTCTCATGAATATAAACCGCTAGGCCTGATCGTTCCCACTAGTGTGCAATATTCACAGTCTACTTGTAAAAGCAGAATGGACAAGATCGAAGAAATGATCATTGAAATCGAAAGGAATGCGATTCTATATGATAAAGCAGACAAAGGTTATAAAGATATCGTCAAAAAATCCATTGCAATATGTAGTCAAATTGCTCCTCTGTCATTCGAAAATACTGTTGGAATTTTTCCGGATGAAATTATAGTTCTTCTGTGATGGTATTCTCCAAACTCACTTCTTCTCCGTAACATTTCATGCACTGATATTCGCCTCTTTCTCTCCCTTCGTTGTTTTATGTACAAATACAGTGCCAAGATTTCGTCTGAGCCATGATAGCAAATGACAAAATTTATCTCTCACAGCTAGAAAAAGACAAGCCATCACGAAAGCCGTAGACGGTTTTCCGCGTTCGGGTTCGCGCCCTGTTTGAACGGTGAAACTGCTCAAAAGTCGCGTTCGGGTTCGCGATGGAGGCGTTCGAGTTCGCACTCTGTATAAACAGGGCTTTACACAGCTTGAGACACCGGTCTCCATTTCAAGATGGAGACTAACGGGTTTAAGTTGTTTGAAAACGTATCACGTATATTGAATTAGTTGCTCGGCCCTAAGGTAAAGGATTTTAAGGGCTTTTAATACAAAATTAAGCAGTTTTATTCTCCAAAATATAATCGAGATTGACTCTTTAAGGCCTAGACCAGCATGACAGACCAGCTCCAAGCGTCTTGAGTTTAGTTGAGTCTAGTCTCTAGCATGTATTGTATGTAGTTGGGTGAAAATAAATGACAACAACATTTGTTGCTTTGCATTGTGCATGTTTAGTGTTTAAAGAATTTTAATTATGAAACGCCACTAGTACAGGGTCGAGAGTGAAGTGCAGGCCACAATATTTATGATATAATGAAATTCAGGTTTTTAATCTTTTGGACTGTTTTGTCGTCCTTTACAAATACAGAAATCATCCATTGATAGATACTATGGCCGTTAAAGTTGTATTAGGCTTCTCACCAAGAAAATAATGGTAACTAATTTTGAATGATATCCCGTTCAACATAACTATAGACTGGCCAACTTATCGAAAATTAAACATGCATTGTGCAAGAGCTAAATCTGTCTATTGCAGGTCTTTCTTTAAGTTTAGGCCTGAAATGTTATCTAAATTATTAATTATACATTAATTAACCTATCCAGACCATAATCAACTCTAGATGGCATCGCTAGCCTGCGATCTTAAGTGGATTGTGAGCCGATTTACTGCATAACTTTCCTTCTCGATTAAACGATTAAATGGATAATCGAGACTATGCTGTTTATCGTACTGACTTTAGTAATGATGACCGAGGCTAGGTAGAAATTTGATTCGTTTAGTTCTCGGTTCACAGTGGATCAATTTGAATGAAATTTTCAGCAAATTGCCTTACGGTATCTAGTTTTTAATTATTAAAGTGAGAACTGCCAACTCGTTATCGAATCTCCCATAATGTATCTTTAAGGCACCAAACTACCATTAAATGTAACGTGTCCTCCACTAGTGGGGGGGGGGGGGTGGATGTCCGAATGGTTAGCACGTGCGCGCTGTATCATTTTAATGCTTAAAAGCCTGCCTCCGGTTTCCTCCCACTGCTAAAGACCCCTACGCGCAACCTATTTATTGAAATAAAATTTAAAACCATATGTTAGTCCCGAAATGACCTAGTTTGTGTCGAGCGGACGTTAAACCCCATCTCTCTCTCTCTCTCTCTCTCTCTCCACTAGTGTTTGTCAATACATGGCACGAGTCGTAAATTGACGGTTTCAAAATGGCGATGGCTTAAAAGGTTTCTCTCAAATATTTGCATACAATCTAATTTCGTCAAATCACCGACTTTTTCATCTAACTGATAATACTACCGGGTAGAGCGTGATAAACATTTCCTCAACTAAATGTGTTAATAATAAAGACTACAGCGTGATAAACATTTCCTCAACTGTGTGATAAACATTTTCTTTGAACACTGATAAACAAAAATATATGGTTTGTAAAAGCTATGTGGATGGGAGTCGGGCAATTTATTTCAACTCATGAAATCTGCTGAGCCAGAAAAATGGTAATCATTTTCTTCTATATATTCTTGGGGCGGTGTTCTTCTTATCTTCCTAAGGCACCACCAGTTCGAGTACCGAGGCTTGTTCGTTGCTTGGATGGGTCGGTGCGTAGGGCGAATTGTTTTACGCGCGCGCTTTAGATCATAAGGTCTGTCATTGTCATTCGATTGCCCGCTTTTACGTGACAAGGAGTAAGGTCGTCTGTCCAACCTCCTCGGTTTCCCCCCACAGCTAAAAGCCCCAACGCACAAGCGAATTATTGAAATATCTTAGCCCCGACACCACCCAGTTTGTGTCGAGTGGACGCCCCCCCCCCCCTCTCTCTCTCTCTCTCTTTCTGTGGAAATCTGAGTAAATGATGTAAATAATTTGTTACAGGTGTGATGACAAAGCTGGCACTCGTTTCTGCAATATGTTCCAGCTCTACAAGTTATTCTTGCACCCGATATACGACAGCATTAGCTCGATTAACCAGCCCAACAATTGACGACATATGCACGTATGTATGACAAGTCTAATTAAAAAGAAGTAAATAAAGCGTTGACTTGGATTGATCTGATGTATTATTTTAATTAGAAAGAATAAGCAGAAGTCGACCTGTTTACTTGTTATAGTTTAATCTTTTGGTAGTGTCATCTCACAAAATAACAACAACATAAAGCATTTGCTGTAGTAATGTTGACTTCCTAGGCCCATAGCTAGAAAGATCCACTGGTACAGGAGTGAGTGCCGTGTCTTCCTCGGTTGGTGGGGGCGTGGTGGGGTAAGACTTCGCGATTGAATTGGAGCTCCACCCCTGTCCTCCCCAAATGTGTTTGTGGAATTTGAAGAATGTGTGCAGAAGTTCATTCATACATAGTTTAGCATATTCTACAGGTCAAGTTCGCTGAGTTGAGTTTTTTTCTCTGTATTTTTGTCCGGGCTTAATGGGCCTGGAACTGTCAACATAAAAAGAGTAAGCATATACTGTCACATTAAGGTCGTTACGTAAAACCTAACGACATATTTCCCAAACTGAAGCATCTGGATAGAGCTATACACTATCATTTGGCCTTTGTTTCACTTAATTGAAAAATTGATCATCTGATCTGTTTGAAATTTATAATCATTATTCGAATAAGTGAAACCAAGTGGCCCTTTTGTATTTTGATAATTTCGGTTAATTACCTTTGGCTCTTGTTTCACTTTGTTAAAATCTTGTGGACAGTCTTAACGACAAAAGTTGTATTAAAGTTGCATGCATTATTCAAATAAATGAAAAAAAAGGTGCCCATAGAATGTCAGCGATTTCTGTTAATTACTTCCGGATTTTGTGATCTTTTCTAAGTTTATTAGTGAAACAAAGAAGTCCTTTGAATATCAACAATTTCCGTTAAATGCTTCTACAGTTATGGACCTTGTTTGGCTTTGTAAATTTTAAGGTTAAGCGACTGGCTCCCATTACCTACTTGCAAAACACTCTACGGGCTGTACTGGCGGCTAAGGTGTTGTGGGCGTATGTTTCGTTTCATGACAACCCATCTTTAATAACTTTGTTTATTTTGATTTTAAACATGGACTCATGTTATGTTCTCTCTTCCAGGGCTATAAAGAATGTACGAGCTTGTTTTACAAACAACAATTGTGATCTGGCTTTAAGTTTATTTAACGATAATATTAAAGTTGTTCTTGATAGGGCACAGATATCTTGTTCTGGTACGAAAAACGTTTATTCATATGTTCATTTTCAATATAATGCCCAGTTGTTTATGTCTATTGCTACGGTTCAACATCTAAAGGCCATTGCTACAATTCTTACCGATTCAGCAAGTCAATGCCCACGCAAGTCATTGCACCCGTCTTTAACTAATTATTAGAGTCGCACTTATATTTCACGTACTCAAATTAAATTGACTGATGTGTTTGTATCACAGGCACTTGAAGGGATTAATATAAAACTTCTTACTACTGCTTGACTACCCTTCAAGTTCCTGTGGTTTGTATATAAAAACAGTGATATTTTGGTAGGAACACTGGTTTTGTCCTTTCCTGTGTCAAAATATCCATCAAATATTATCTTGTTTATGACATGTGTTTGATAGACCAAATAAGGTAATGTTCTCCTCCCGGTCTTTGGGGTATGGGATGTTTATTCGTATATTTGGGAAGGAAATTAACGCCAAGGTTGGTCTATGCATATGACGTAAAGAAATTAGGGGATTTATAAAAGAGGGTGTTGAGCGAAATTCATCAGAGCTCGTCCGATTTGTCAGAGCAGCCATCAAAAGATATATACTTTATTGAGAACGAGGAACATTGGTGCCAAGCGGTTTTAATAATAAAGTTGTATAAACGATCTAACCCCTAGTTTACGATCACGAAGAAACACAACAAAGAAGTCCGGTATTACTACACCCGTTATTAACTTAAAACAAACTAAAGTTATTTTGTTATTTGAAACTTGCAAGACCAGTTGAATGAAATCATAAAATTTCGACACGATGTTTTAAGCGCTGTTGTCCTTATGTCCACACTGTTTTGGTCTAGACATACGGAATTCAGCGCAGCTCGAAAATATATAGATCCCATCTACGAACGAAACGTTTTGGACTGTAATAAGCTGTAAAATACGGATTACTTTCTAAATTTTCCATGATGATACAATTTCTAGGGGTTGCCTAGTCTGTTGTCTCTATTGTATAATATACTTTGTACCATATTTATGTATTAATGGTATCGTATGTCAGAAAACAGTTAAATGTTTAATATTCTGTAAGTTAAAGTTACAATTTCATATTTTTAAGTTATATTTTTAAAATGTATTAAAATAAAGCCTTAAAATAGATGGTATCTATAAACAGTCCTACCTTGTTAAAGAATAATCCTTTTAATCCTATAATTAACTATTGCCAGTTGAGAAATTGGCAAAAACATCATTTTCAACTTCAAATTCAAACGTTTGAAGATAGCTATTCCATTTTTAAGTGTGAGAAAGATAACCTATGATCGTATAATAGTGAGTTGACAACCTATTGAGCAAAAGACATAGAAATAATTATGTTTTGACTTTCTTAGAAAATATGAAATTGTAACTTTAACAAACATCGATCAAATGTGTGAGCAGCAAGGCGGAGGGAAAGGGACAACGTATAGATCGAATGGACAAAAAATCGAGGCCCCGTGTACACACTGACGTGCACATAAAAGAACCCTGGACAGTTGGAATTCGAAAAAGAGTAGGCCACAGCGCCGTTGTCCTGGCAAAATTTACCTCATAGCGCACTGTATGGCGTTTGCCCTTCTTCATTTGCCCAGTCGGTGCAGAACAGTATGACGTTAAATTTAATTTGATTTATGAGCAGGTACCAGCGGGAGTTTTATAACGACCCTTGCCCCACCAATCAATATGACAGATATAACTACCCACATGGTGACTGGAGCGCCATCATGTGATGCTATAGAAATTCAAGCATGTAATAGATATACAGATGAGTTGAAGTCAATAATCAGACCTACCAAAGAACAAATCTGTGGGTAAGTACTCAACAGTGTTATTAGTGTGGAATTAATTTGATGCCCCCACCCAGGGCTTCCACTTCAAAAGTTTCCGGGGATCACGGTGGCTAAGTGGGTAAGGCCCTGGCTCGCTAGCCTGGAGGTCGGGTGTTCGATCCCTGCATTGGCCGAGAAAGTTCATCCAGATTTTCCGGCGTGGTTCCCCCTTGTCAGTGATGCAGGACGGAGGGCCTGACAAGGACAGCTGTCTAGTCATTCGGATGAGACGAAAAACTGAGGTCCCGTGTACACATTGGCGTGCACGTAAAAGATCCCTTGACAGTTGGAATTCGATATAAGAGTAGGCCGTAGTGCCGCTGTCCAGGCAAAATTTCCCTCATAGCACACTGTATGGTGTATGTCCGTCTTCATTAGCCCAGTTCGGAGCAAAACAGTAGGACGTTAAACCCCATTTCATTTCATTTCATTTCAAAAGTTTCCCAATCGGTCATTTTTTACACGGTGAAAGTGGAGCTATTTTTAGCACATAATAAACTACCAGAAAACAACATGCTATCGACATCTCGATCGGGTTTAAATGGGTCAAGGACAGTCACGCGAAATTCGTACGTGACGAGTTACATGTAGACTGTTGACTATTCTCCATACACGGGGAAAAAGTAGTTCCGAATTATCAACGCATTTAAATAATTCAAAGTCATAAAAATGTGCAATAATTAACACCCCTAATCTTTTACCCACGTTATTCTCATACATTAAAAACCTTTCGTTTAACATCGAGATTTTATGGTGAATGAGGACCGGCTATAGTCTCGACCGGTCCAGCCCAATTTCTCAATTTGACTCTAACAATATATTGCCATTATTGGTCTGGGCCAAACAGGAGTAAATAGTAATACAGTGTCAAAGGTCTTATGGGGATTTCTCTGTGTTTGACGAATGGCTGGGACACAATCATCTTGTGATATATCCTGCGATGGCATCGAGGTTTTCCGGTGTGGTTCCCCCCTGTCAGTGATGCAGGACAGAGGGCCAAAGCATAACTTTTCAATAAGTTCAGTCGAAAGTCAAAAAAAATTATTGTTCTCGCTGTTGTCATGTGCTAGTGAATATTAATTATTTTGTTACAGTACCGTTACAAAGGTGAGAAACTGTCTGGAAGGTTGTGACTTGGCTTTAAGCCTCTTTAACAGCTACATGGACAAGGCTTTTAGATCATGGGGTTTCACATGTGGTAAGATATGTAGTATTAGTAATAGTAGTACCGACGGCGTCCACTATGGATGCCATTTCAGACAATATAAAACATGATTTAATGGGGGCATTTACGTTAAATTAAAAAGAGTAAAAGCAAAACAGCATACATCTTGAAAACTAGTCCAATTAATTTGATGTACCTGCATGTCGTTCCGTTTGATTTTCTGCCTTTTTTCGATTCATCTTGGTATAAAGGCATTTCTTTTTTTATAGTAGAGCCGCGGTGGCTCGGTGACTAAGGCACTAGCTCACTAACCCGCTTTCTCTCCCGGTATTGGCCGAGAAAATCTCTCGGAATTTTCCGGCGTGGTTTCCCCTAGTCAGTGGTGCATAGTCTTGTCGTTCGGATAGGGACAAAAATTGAGGCCCCATGTACATATTAACGTGCCCGAAAAAGACCCCTTGACAATTGAAATTCGACGATGAGTAATTGGAAATTCCACTATCTATGAGTAAAGTTTCCCCAATAGCACACTGGATGCCCTGTTGGCATTATTTAGACGAGTTGGGGCAGAAAAGTGGGACTATTAAAATGGGTCTATCTACCCGTCCCACTTTTAGTGACACAATAATTCTCCTAGTTGAGCTAGAATGTTCAAGCTTGGTGTAGGTGTTTATTAGGCGAAGGCCTTCAAGGAGTTCGAAGATGAGCATTTTCTGCTTAGGGTAAACAGAGATAAGCAATTTGATTGGTTGATGATTTGGTACATGATAACTTTAGTTCTAATTAAGTGAGAGTGATGAAACTTGGTGTATAATTTCATTACACCAATACCTTGAATAAGTTCGATAATAAGCATTTTCTGCTCAGGGTAAGCAGAGAGATCAACAATTTGATTGGTAGAGACTTTGGAACACAATAACTTTCCTTCTAATTGAGGTAGAATGTTCAAAGTTGCTGTAGGCGTTCATTATGTGAATGTCGTGGTGGGGTTCGAAGATGAGCATTTTCTGCTTAGGATAAGTAGAGATAAGCAATTTCATTGGTTGGTGCTTTAGGACACGATAACTTGATTCTAGTTGAGTGATAGTGGTGAAACTTCGTGTATAGTTTCATTACACCAATACCTTACTTAACAAAGTTCGATGCTGAACATTGTCTGCTTAGTTAAAGTAGAGACTTCAATCTGATTGGTCGAAACTTTGGAACACAATAACTCTACTTTTAATTGAGGTAGAATGTTCACAGTTGGTATAGGTATCTATTTGGGGAATGCCTTGGCAGAGTTCAATCATGCGCATTTTCCACTTCGGCTAAGCAGAGATAAGTAATTTGATTGGTTGAGACCATGGAACACGAGTATAGATCATTATATGAATACCATGAAGAATGAAGAAGATTTTCTGCTTAGGCTAAGTAGCGATAAGCAATTTGATTGGTCAAGACTTTGGAACAACTCTGCTTTCAGTTGATATATTATGTTTAAACATTGGTTGATGTTTTGGGACACGATAACTTTGTTTCTGAAAGTGGCTTGTTTAGTTCACTTTAAGTTATGTGCAGATTGCGGTTGGTAGACTCCAGATCGACCCACCAATCAAGATTCGCGATACAGAAATGCTTGAAAGCCCTTGCCTATTCATGATGGTTGAATGTACCATTTGAATTTAAGTAGATCACTCGAAACACTAGTCTAAAACATTCATATGTTTCAAATAAGTTTATGCTCGGTGTAATTGTTCTCGGTAGTTAAAATATCATTGCATGGGTTAAAGATAAATTCTGTGGGTCGAATAGATGACCTAATTGTAACGTGTTATTGCATTGAACGGAGGTCGGGGTTAAATTGAACACGTGTCTTTGATTCTATCAATTTTCCCCTTTTCAGAGTCAAGCTCGGTGACAACACCCACACCCAATACTGGTTACTGTAATGATCTAGAAATTAAATCTTGTTATAGATATGATGACGAATTGCTTAAAATAGCCAACCCTACATTGGCGCAAAATTGCTCGTAAGTATACACCCTAAGTTCTTTTCTAATTGTGTCGTGTATTTAAGACGGCGTGGAGAGTTGAGAGGTCTAAGTTTTAAATTACTTAAATTACTACGGGGGCGGTAACATTTTTTAGTTAAAGTAGCTAAGTCTCTAACTCAAAGTCATCCAAAATCTTCGACATTCAAAACGCGAATTATTTGCCAATTTAAATCAACATTGATGTTGTGATCTTACCGGGAAAAGATGGGCTTCTGATATCCAATATTTAAGACAAAATAAACACTTTACCATTAGTACACGAATCGTGTACCATAATGCGCTTCAACACCATTTTTAACAAGGGGCTAGAAAAACGAGGCTATGCATATTCAACAAGTCATGTTCTTATCTGGAGAGCATGCGCAATAAATACAATAGGTGTAGACTGGAATAACCAGGCGCCAGAGATAGTCATTCGATTGAGACTTCTGGCGTATTTCACCGAACATAACTGATAAGAAATTAGAGTAAAAACAGAAACTATTGGATGTAAATCAGTTTATATACATTCATATTACATTATTATATGCGTTGCGAACCATTTGTGTCAATTTCTAGGTCCCAAATATTACCGATTTAGCTCCTTTAAACAGCGTTATTTTCGTTAATGACGCCAGTTATTTGGTGTATCTGAAAAAAGGGTGAAGAATTGGTGCGACATTGTCAGAAATTAATGAAATATTAAAAATGCCTTCCCATGTACAAAGCGTTTGATTTGATGAAATATATTCAAATTTACTTATCAAACGTTCCCTCTCAAACCATTTTTATCGCAAGGAAATACCCAAACCCTAAAAATCTATGTTAAACATTCATGTTTGTGACGTAACTTGAATGTCGCGCAATTTAGCCAATGGTGAAGGTTTGGGCTTCATTTCCAGCTTGTATTTGTCTTTAATCTCTGTTCTTTTCCATAAATATCGAAGCCCAAGTTAATTCTGGGATTATCCTCTGTACACTTCTACAGAATCTCTCACTGTTCACTCAACCGACAGTCATTCTGTAATACATACAATCCGTCGCTCTGCCCGTGCAGTCTGCCAGTTAGTGATACCCTTACATTTATGTCCCATGAGCGTCCAGTAGATTTATTTTTTAGTGAATCCAGTATTCGTCTAGTAAGAAGGAATGTCTCTACTTTCCATATATAATAAATGATTTACACAACCACGGTAATCATATTTTCATGTGTACATTGATTATTTATTTCTAAAATGTAAATAAATGTATCTATATCTGACAGGGAGAGGGGTTTAATATAGTCTATGCCTGTCCCCCAATCCCTATTCAGATACAAATCTGAATAAAAATATTGCTTAAAAAAAACAAAAACATACCGGAGAAGAACAATGTGAGAAACAATATTAACAGCGACGAGTATAAAGCTCTATATAGCTTACAGACTAATAATTCTATTATCATCAAAGAATCGGACAAAGGCGGGACCATAGTTATAGTGGATGTCGACTTTTAGGAATCTAAGATCCTCAATATTCTAGAAGATAGAAGTACTTATCTTGAAATAGATTCAAATAAGGACAAAGAGTCTTTAACCTTAATTAATATTTTAATTGAAAAGGAAGGTCACGGTTTAACAGAAAATGAAAAAAAGTTTTTTACCAAGTTTGATTGTAAAGCTTGTAAATTCTATGGCCTTCCGAAAATACACAAATGTGATAATCAATAGACCGTGTGATCTTACCTTTAGGCCAATTATAGCTGGCACGTCGTGTGCCACCAACAGATTATCTTATTTAATTGATATTCTTTTAAAACCCTTCTAGAATTAAATCATATATAAAGGATGACATTGACTTCCCTATTAAACTGCTTCAGGAAATAAACGACGAGGAAATATTTGCAATATTGGATGTCTTTAGTCTCTATAGCAACATCTCACATAATTTGATAGATTACCGGTACTTCGAAATAACCGTTTTTCAAAAACTTTTATTTTAAAAGCTATCGGCATTATTGGAAAACGTAATTTTATACAAATTAAAGGCTGTGCTATGGACTCAGTGTGTTCACCTGGCCTTAGCAACCTCCTTATGGGATTTTTAGAAGATAAAATTATATACAATAACTGAAAACAAATTTGGTATCACTATAGAAACTACATCGAAGAGAAATTTATAAGATATTTAGATGACGTCTTCCTCATTTAGAAAACTAATCTTGGCCACATAGCAGATTTGTACAAACTTTTAGTTTTAAATGATCTAGATATTAATATTAAATTCACTTTTGAAACTAGTTATAAGAAAATTGCTTTTTTTAGATGTTCTCGATAATAATCGAATCGTTACAGATATTTACTCCAAAGAAACAGATACTAAAAATTATTTATCTTATAAGTCATGTCACCCCCGTCATGTTAAAAATAATATACCCTTTTCTCTTACCAGAAAACTACGCACTATAATTTTAGACGAAGATCTCAGAAGTCGACGACTTGATAAATTGATATCCAGTTTATTGAAAAAAGATTACCCACTTGGGGTTATTAATATAGTTATTGAAAAAGCTAGGGATCTAACTACTGCTGCATTAAGAACGCCTAAAGAAAAGAACATCTCTACTTGTATTACCTTTATTTCGACATATTATAATCGGCCGTACGTAACTAACGTACGAAAATTAAATGGTAGCTGGCTTATGATACTAAGAATGTACTTCTTTCTAATGATAATCTTAATGATCAATTTCATTGCATATAATTAATTAATAGTAAACGTCAGCCCCCTAGCCTTAAAAAATTACTCACTTAGAGATAAATTTCAAGCTTCAAGTAATGGAACTTTTTCTACACTGTGTAAATGTTGCCACCATATGATTATTGATACTCAATTCACTTTTTCTAATACTAATTATACGTTTAGAATTAATGATGATCTGAATTGTAATACTAAAAATTTAATTTATGTTCTTGTATGCAACAAATATAAGAAGAATTATATAGGGGAGTGCGGGACTGAATTACGCGCACGCATCCGAGTTCATAGGCAACAGAGTTTACAAACTAATGCTGTTTTGAAAGTCTCTAAACATTTAAAGTTACAATTTCATATTTTTAAGTTATATTTTTAAAATGTATTAAAATAAAGCCTTAAAATAGATGGTATCTATAAACAGTCCTATCTTGTTAAAGAATAATCCTTTTAATCCTATAATTCACTATTGTCAGCTGAGAAATTGGCAAAAATATCATTTTCAACTTCAAATTCAAACGTTTGAATATAGCTACTCCATGGCGGAGAATAGAAAACAAGGGAGGTAATTGGGTGGTAATTGTGTTATTATTTCCGGTGTAAATGAGTTTTAAGTGTGAGAATGACACCTATGATCGTATAATAGTGAGTTGACAACCTATTGAGCAAAAGACATAGAAATAATTATGTTTTGACTTTCTTAGAAAATATGAAATTGTAACTTTAAATACTTGTGCTAAGAATATTAGATTTAGTATTATTTCCTTTTTATAAAGTCAATATTGATAACACTGTCAAGAGACGGAATATTGAAGCATACTGTATTGACCTGCTCAAACCAGATTTAAATGCTTAATTTCCACTTCCTACCGTGTCCGATTATACCAGGAAGACTGAAAATAATGAAGGCCAAGTTTTATTATAGCCAGATTACATAATTGGTCTATGAATGTTTATTTCATCTCATTATTCCTGTTTTGACCATTGTCAAACTATACCAGGAAGACTATGTAGATTAATGACCTGGACGTATTTTAAATATATATATAGTTTAATTGCCATTAAATACTTTGGTGGGAAAATATCTTTTAAAAAAGCGAAGACGACATTATTGAAACGCAATCTAAATTTAATTAAAAAAGGGACATTATCAAGAACAATAAAAAAAACGATGTAATACTGCCATCAATATATATTTTATACGTATATTTAACTACATAAATAAACTAAAATCACTGAATCAATAGAAATCATTGTATACATACGTCATATCTATCGCTGGAAAAATAAATATAAATAGCTGTTTATTTACCGCATGTAGCGTGTCTGCTTAAGCATGAAATGAAATGGAGTTTAACGTCCTACTGTTCTGCTCCGAACGGGACTAATGAAGACGGACATACGCCATACATTGTGCTATGAGGGAAATTTTGCCCGGACAGCGGCACTACGGCCTACTCTTATATCAAATTCCAACTGTCAAGGGATCTTTTACGTGTACACCAATGTGCATCACTGACAAGGGGGAACCACGCCGGAAGCTTAAGCACGAAGATATATTTTAATCTGGAATTATATGGATAAGGCTTTTAAGGGCGTTGTTGTAAAATCGGCATTCCTTGATAAAGTTTGGTTATTTTCGGCGTATTTGGGTTTATCTGAAAAATAGAAGTGGTTATTGAACTTATTTCCCTTCAATATAAAAGAGCTGTTTTTTTACTGAGCCTTGTTGGCTTCAAATAACTTCGATATCGAAGGTTGTATGCATGTATTAGTCACGGCTAATTAAGTTTTTTCGTCCGGCGATCATGTTGATTTACTTATGGCGATAGAGATATAAGTTTTACGAATATTCCATTATTGCATGGACAGTTTATACGTTTATTGTATGGACAGTAACTAGTATACGATTATTGTATGGACAGTTAATACGTTTATTGTATGGACAGCTAATACGATTATTGAATGCTCAGTTAATACGTTTATTGTATGGACAATGTTGACAACGTTTATTGTATGGACAATGTTGACAACGTTTATTGTATGGACATTTATTACGTTTATTGTGTGGATAGTTAATACGTTTATTGTATGGTCATAGGCGTAGTGGCTCTATGACAGTTAGGGGGGCAGAACCCGAAATGCCGAAAAAATTTCGGGTTTACAGACAGCAGCGACCTTGTATACCCCCCCCCCCTCCCCCAAAGACAATTTTGGAATATTTGACGGCTGCAAACACGTTTTCCTGCTATTGCAGCCGTTGAACAAAGCAACTTCAAAGTGGTCTAATATAGCCTAATTAAGGTGGCTGACTCGGAATTCCAATCAATCGTTTACAGTCCTCGAAGACGGGACCGTTAGGAGTAAATTTTGAAAATTTAACTGCCGCAAACGCGTTTTCCCGATATTTCAGCCAGTGAACAAAGCTGACTCGAATTCCAATCAATCGTTTACAGTCCTCGAAGACGGGACCGTTAGGAGAAAATTTTGAAAATTTAACTGTCGCAAACGCGTTTTCCTGCTATTTCAGCCCGTGAACAAAGCAACTTCAAAGTGGTCGAATATATATTTTAGCCTTATTAAGGTGGCTGACTCGAATTCCAATCAATCGTTTACAGTCAACCAAGACGGGACCGTTGGGAGAAAATTTTGAAAATGTAACTGCCGCAAACGCGTTTTCCTGTTATTCCAGTTCCAAACAACCAATCAATCGTCGCGCGGTATATGGAGGCCTCACCCTCCCGGAGAAAAATTTGAAAATTTAATCACCATAAATGCGTTTTCTGCTATTCTAGCCCGTGTAAGCAACTGCAAAAGTATCCAATGGTTTTGTAACTGAAATCCCACTCTGAATTCTAACCATCCAATCAGACTGTTGCATCTGCACTCACAAATAATAATCGATGCCTGAAAAATGTCGCACAAAGTAGAGTGGCTCCAGACAAAATGTTTTAATCCATAGTCAACTCAGTACAAATTCGTGATATTCAATTACAAGAAAAGTAAAATTAGTGTTTTATTAGGGCTCGGTGACAGTTAGGGAAGCAAAACTAGAAATGCCCGAAAAATTTCGGATTTATAGACAGCGGCGCCGGTTTTCTTTGAGAGGCGAATGACCCGCCAAGATAATTTTTGAATATTTGACGGTCGTAAACGCGTTTTACTGCTAGTTTCCTCTGCCGCTTTCCGGCCCGATGCCCGTTTTTCGGGCAATACCTATTTTCGGGCAATACCGTTTTTTCGGGCATACCTATCATAAGAGAGTTTCGGGCATATTTTCGGGCATATGCAGTGGACAAGAAAAAGACGAGAAAATACTTTTCGGGCAGTGTGGATCTCATAGAAATAAATTAGTTATATTTTTCTCTAAACGTTAATAGAAAAAAAAGGTCGTCGAATTTTTCATTGCCCGAAAATAAATTTTTGGGGGGGCAAAGGCCCCCCCCCCTGCCCCCCCCCCCGGCTCCTACGCCTATGTGTATGGTTGGGTCAGTTTAATGCAACTTATGACAAACTCCTACGACATCTGTTTTCCTACATTTGAAAACAATCTCAAAGGTAATAGTATCTATCATGTTTGAAGTCCATAAATCCTTGTAGCATCGTAATCCAAATCAATAATCGTATAAACAATCTCGTTATAGGACGGCTTTTAAAATAGAGAATTGTTTGAAGGGTTGTGATGAGGCCCTCGGGAAGTTTAAAGCCCGGATGCAGAAGATGTTTGCTGACAATGGTGGTGGCGTCTCTTGTGGTAAGAACTTTTGATTATTAAAATAGAATTAAACCTTTTTGAATTAGATAAAATAAAAAGCTGTCAGTGCATCATTTAGTGCTGAATTGTGTTTATCTGATATGTTATTATATCAGCTTTATTTGGCCACAGTCGGCCTACACCTACACCATTAATTGCCCATTGAATTTAATGTTGAATCTCGTCTCTTTGACCGGCTATTTTTCCCAAAATTTTCGTTGGGTTGGGTGATTTTTACGCAAATGGAGCAACATGCGGCAACCTCTTGCCCAAAAGCACCCATGAGGTTCACCATGGAAATATTGAGATATACAAACTGGAAGTAGCATACAAGTAAACATGCAACTATCCCCCTTCCATTTCAACGTGACCAACCTCATTGCTCTGTTATCCTTCCGCCTCAAAATCATGAATATTTACCAAAACCGGGCAGAGAATGTTTATATATATCCATACCCTTTTCGTCTATTCTACACCAAAAATCAACATGCAAAAGGGGGAGAGCTTAACAGTTTTATTATTTTATTTTTTTAAAAAAGGAAAGATTAAGCTAAAGCCTTTTTTAATTGCGTCATTTCAGATCAAGTTTCCAGGACAGATATCGATAAGCTTGATTCGTGCTCGGCACAAGAAATTGGATCTTGTACCAGTATTTTAAAAAAAATAAGTAAACCAACTGCAGGTCAAATCTGCTCGTGAGTATCCCTATTTATTTACAGTTGGAAACTATGAGCCGAAATATCTTTTTCGTCTTCTTCTTGTCGGGCTTAACGACCACTTCTATCTAGCGTCATATCTCAGACAAATCTTTTTTTCAGCTGTCTACACTTTTTACTGTCCCAATCTGTTTCGCCGAATATGAAACTATGTTTGGTATCTCAAAGCAATTGTAATGTGCTCGGCACAAGAAATTGGATCTTGTACCAGTATTTTAAATAAAATAAGTAAACCAACTACAGACAAATCTTTTTTTCAGCTGTCTACACTTTTTACTGTCCCAATCTGTTTCGCCGAATATGAAACTATGTTTGGTATCTCAAAGCAATTGTAATGACCGATTCGTCTAACTCGTGGGTTGATAAAGCGGCATTGTTTTATGAGTGGTGTCACCTGTCTAGTCTCGTGTTATTCGTCCAAGCCATCCGGTTTCCTCCCACTAAACATAACCCCATGCACAAGCGAATTATTGAAATAAAATTGTACCACTATTGTCATGGCTCAAAGAATATGGATCTTTCCCACTAGCCAGAGTCTTGCGGGATCGTTCCTTATTGAGATAGTTCCTATCCGGGGTCTCGTGTGGGCCTATACATATTGGCGTAACAATTTGAAGAAGAACCGGCGGAAAGGTATCTCATTACAAAGCGTGTGAAGGCATGTGTCTGTCTTCATTAGCTTGACTGGAGCAGAAAAGTAATTTGTTGTCTTCCAGTACAAGTATTTACCTAGAATTATTTTCTTTCTTTTCTTAATCAATAGATCCATGCCTAAGGTAAAGAATTGTTTGGGTAACAAAGGTTGTAATGTAGCTCTGAATTTATTTAAAGAAAATACCGGTGAATTACTTGCTAAGTACAATGTTATTTGTGGTAAGTAAAATAAATCTAAATATCATGGGTGGAGGGGTTGGAAAGGAAAATGTACCTAAGAGGGAACAAAAAAACATAATTCTTTAAATATAGAATATAAGTCTATATCCCAGTTATTTTTCTTCGAATTTAGAAAATTGGTCGACATACCAATTTATATTTTAAGTATAGGATACCAATTTATATTTTAAGTATGGAGTATAGGTCGATATTCCACTGTATTCATTAAATATAGAATATAGGTCGATATTCCAATGTATTCATTAAATATAGAATATGGATCGATATACTAGTTCCTGTTTTAAATATAGAATATAATTCGATATTTTAAACATAGAATATTGGTCGATATTCCAGTGTATTCATTAAATAAAGAATATAGGTCGATATCCCAGTTTCTATTTTAAATATAGAAATATATGTCGATATCACAGGTTATTTTTTAAATACAGAATTTTATATTTTAAATATAGAATACAGGTCGATATACAAGGTTATATTTTGAATATTCTTTTAACATGTTGTAATTCCATTTCATTTTAGAGGATTTGTTTTCTGTTTTAATTTGCAGGCTGTTCCAAACTTAACAGTCCCGGTTTGTGTTTTATTCTACTTATGACGGTTCTCTGTATGGCTAAACATTATTTCCAACAGTAACATTTCTTTACTCATCAATAAATAAGTTTATTTCTGGGCGACGGGTTCTCTCGTCTTCATTAACCAACTTGTATTCCATATAACTGTGTCATATGTTATTCTATCAGTTAGTAAATGCAGTTTAAACAATTCAAATGTATATATCTGTTCTTTTGGACCACCATTTCCAATATTTAATTTATTAGCTTAGTTTTCTTGAAACCATTACCAAACATCAGATGTATTTTTATAAATATTGTGATACATATTTTTATTATTGAATTATTATTAACTTGTAACATGATCATAATAAGGTGTGATTATTTAATATTTAGACGATTCAATTCTATTTTTTGTAAAATAAAAATAAAAATGTTCCTTTTTTATTAGTTAATTTTTATTACTGTTAATTGGTAAACATGGTGTACATAAATATAAATACGGTCTGATTACTAACTTTTAATTAGGACTGGACAATAATTTCAATTCATCAATATACACGTTTTGCAATATGTAAATTTTGGCTGGATTAGATTCCTATATGCCGCTAACGGCCATTGATAATTAAATTTAAAAAAAGTGGATACTCGAGACTATGCTGTTTATATTAATGATTTTAGTAATGATGACCGAGACTATGCAAAAATTTCACCCGCTTCTTTCTCGGCTCATAGTGGATCAATTTTACTGAAATTTTCAGCAAATTACCTTTACACTATCTAGTTTTTAACTATTATAGTGAGAACTGCCATCTCTTTATCTTATCTCCAATAATGTATCTTTAAGTATGGTTTAATGGTCGAGAGCGAGACATTAAGTTATATATTGATACTGCACGCTGCGTCAGCCGAGTGTTGTTTCAATATATTACGCAATGTCTTTAGCTCGAGACCATTAAACAACTTAAAATACAGGCACTATCCCGCACGTGCTTTTCAATGAAATACGTCCCGCGATACCAATATTTCATCTAGTATAGATAATGTACGATTGGCAAGTTGCTCGTACATTATTAGAAATAATGGTACGCCAACATCAAAGGATGACGTCACATCTGTATTTTAAAGATCCCTTAGTAATCGAATATAGTTCCTTGAATGACATTTAGAAGTAGAGGTACAATATTCATAATAACACAACTTTATGGATTTACTACTTCTTAGTTTATTACATGCAACGTTTCAATACTCTTACATGTATCTTTATCAAGCAATCTTAGTTTATTACATGCAACGTTTCAATACTCTTACAGGTATCTTTATCAAGCAATGGATTGCTTGATAAAGATACCTGTAAGAGTATTGAAACGTTGCATGTAATAAACTAAGAAGTAGTAAATCCATAAAGTTGTGTTATTATGAATATCGAATATAGTGTTTGAAACTATCTCCATTTCCCTGATAATATTCTCTAGAATATTTTTTTGTATTTTATTGAAACATAGTGCAAGTGTACTTGTTTCTCAGAGAAATCTTTTGTAGGGGCTCGCCGCCTTGTTCCGAGTCTCGTTGCTTAAAGCACTATAATATCGCAATAATGGCAATTTATTGTGGATTTTTATATAATTATTGCAATAATATACATATATATTGTTTCTGAAAATATGGTCCGATACATGCCAATTTGTGTCACGGGGTCAGAGAAATCGAGAAAAATTGAAAAAAGACTGTAGGATGTTGAGCTGAACAGGAGACAGTTTATTTTTTTAAGATCATATTGTAATTTGTCTAGAGTTTTCTTCTTCGTGCATTTGAATGTAAAGAGCGCCGCAGGAGGTAGTTGTCGGGATCTTCAAATATATGACCGCAGATCAGTGCATCGGACTCTTCAGTATGCTATGGATTATTTGGAGCTTCCGCTGGCCGTTATGGTCACAGATCACCAATGATTTCCCCATTGACTTTAATAATAATTCGCATCGCTTAGACCGGTTCTATCTTTTTCCCAAATTTTCGTTGGGTGGAACGCTTTCTACCACAGATGGAGCAATATGTGGCAACCTCTTGCCCAAAAGCACATATTATGAGGTTCATCATGAATAACTTGAGATACAGAAACTGGAAATAGACACAAGTAAACATGCAATTTTCCGTCCTACATTTCAACCTACCCAACCTCTGAACTCTCGTATCCTTCGCCTCAAAATCATGAATATCCACCCAAACCTGGCAGAAAATGTATATTCAAACTCTTTTCTTCTATTAAACACTAAAAAGTCAACAAAAATCGCCATGTAAAAGGGCAAAAAAGTGAAAGTGGGAGAAAGACTATATAAAAACAGCTTTGACCCTTGTTTCGTGACGGCGTAAGAATACTTGGTGAGCTGTGTCTTTATATATAGTAAAACGATGGCACTTTTATATCAAAACAGCAACTCTTTTAAAAACGTGCATGGAATAGTCTAGATACTGATATATCTGATTCCCACTCGTTGTCCCTTTTCAAACACAAAATTCGCTTACAGTTTTCAAGCCCTTGTAAACCCATTTCTTACCTTGGTGATAGAACTTTTCAAGTTATACATTGTAAACTTCGTAATTGCAATAGTGATCTCAATTTGCACAAATTTCTAATGCACGTAGAGTAAAAACCCTATGTGTAGCTGTGGCGAATCTGTTGAAAATTGCGATCATTTTATCTTTCATTGTCAACTATTCAGCGTTCAAAGATCAGTAACTATCGATAACCTGGACCCTATTTTTAGAAATTCAAAAATAATTTAAACCTGCTAATCTAAACCATGCTGCGTTTGATAAACTGCATAGGTACATTGAGTTAACTCATCGGTTTAAAAAATTAGTCTCTGTCACTTGATTACTTGATCTTATTTCATTCTACGAAAATCCCAATTTGACCTTTATTTTGCATCTCGGAACTTAGGATATTAAGTTGGATGTAAATAAATTACCCGATGTCAATATCATACCCCCATTCCTTTATTCCCTGGATAACATAGGCAAATTTTCGAATGTTGAAACTGCCAATTTTAAAACTATTCACCACTTTTTATTGATGAATGACAACTCACTTTCACTTTGTTTTTCTTTTTTGTTATAGTTCCTCGTATTTTTTTAGCATAAATGTTCAACCTACTGCTCTTAAATGTACTCTCACTTTCACCAATTAAAACTAGCCACCGTGTCAGGAAATTCATAAGCATGCTGCTTGTTTTCGTATCCTTTAGACTGTACAATTGTATGACTATATGTAATTATATTGAATAAAATATTGTTTAAACCAATTAAGACAAATGGTTGGAGAATAGTTTAAGAGTTTTTGAGTTTCTTGCAGGAGTACTGAGTTTATTCCACTCTCTTATACTGGATTGGATAAATAATTTAAAAGAAAAAAAGTTCAGACCCACATCAAATTTCTTTTATTTTATCTCCGTTTGGAAGTGAATATGTATTTGTTGGTTCAAGATTTGTGAGATTCTTAAGATAAAGAAGGGTTGGCTTATTGGTAATTTTGTATAGTAGTTTTAATTTGTGTCGATTTCGTCTTTGTTTGAGTGGAATAAACCCAGTTTCTGCATACAGGGAAACATGGCTAGTACCCTTAACTGCCCCACAAATAGTGCGCCGAGTTGAAGGTTAATTACATAAGTAGTCAGTGCACCCGCCCCAGATAACATCGGTATAATCAACGTGAGGCAGAATGAAGGAATTATATAAGGTATGCATTAAATGTCCCATTGTGCTAAAGATGGGGTATCTAATATGGCCACAAATATTGTTGTCAACCACCACCCCTTCCCTATGACCTGTATATTTGTATTGGACTGATATTCCTATTACAGATGTACCTTTCACAATATTATAGTGTGCGACAAAATCACGCATAGTGTATTTAAAATTAAAATAAAAACTCGAAGGTAACCCAATAGAGTTAGATCAAATAGGACACATGTGTGTTCATTTTCATTTGTACATCTCATGAATCTAACGGCTGAATATGGACATTCTGTATTGTACATAATGAAAAGCATCAGGGTAAACCAGAAAACGGAAAATCAAGCGCTTAAAATATCTGCTTTTATTTAGCAAATCGGGCAGCTTCAAAATCATAAACGATTTGACAAAACACCGACAGTGTAAGGTGGGGGTAGAGGGTGGATAACCGAATGGTTAGCACGTGCGGGCTGTATCATAAGGTCTGTCATTGATCCAACTGGCGTGGTAACGATTCCTCGGTTGTACGTCACAAGAAGTGGGGTCGCCTGCCCAACCTCGTGGGTTTTCTGCGGGTACTCCGCTTTCCTCCCACTGCTAAAGATCCCTACGCACAAACGGATTATTGAAATGAAAAATGTGTTAGTCCCGAAATGACCTAGTTTGTGTCGAGTGGACCTTAAACCCCATTTCTCACTCTCTCCGACAGTGTAAACAGGTCATGAATCCACTCGGTCACCTTCAGAAATTTGACTAAACACAACAAGCGTGTAATTTCATCGTGATATTGACTAAAACATTATTTAAATATTTAATTCACCTACTAGGCCGTATATCGGGTAGCACAGAAGCAAACAAGGAATAAAGTGGAACAACTGAACAAATATATTGTAGATACATGTATATCATTAACGTTTTCCATGTGGTACAATATTGGTTTAGTTACATCTTCACTACAAATTGTAGGTCCATCGCTCAAATAATGTTAATATAGTTTGGCCGCGAATGAAATGAAATAAAATGGGGTTTTAACGTCCTATTGTTCTGCTCCGACTGGGCTAATGAATTCGGTAGTTTGGCCAGATTGAGAAGTCACATTACATTCACTTCTAAACGGCCAATTTGTCCCCCGTCTTGCACATAGCCCCTTGTCCATGTAGAAATCGAATTTCGTATTTCTTCTAAGCTCATGTCTACCCATTTTGCCTGGATTTTATCCTTCAATTCATTTTCCGTAAATCGTTTCGTGTGTCCCTCCATAAATCCTTTCCGAAAGACTCGAGATACATCTAAGTCAGTCTGCCTGTGTGACTTACAGTCCCATCCTGCTGAAAGACATAGTAGTTGTTGGGATAGTGTCTTGAGGCAATCAGGTGATAATCCATTAATCTATTGAAATGAAATGAAATGAAATGGGGTTTAACGTCCTACTGTTTTGCTCCTATACTGGGCTAATGAAGACGGGCATACGCCATACAGTGTGCTATGAGGGAAATTTTGCCTACTCTTATATCGAATTCCAACTGCCAGGGGATCATTTACGTGCATTCCAACATATACACGGGACCTCGGTTTTTCGTCTCATCCGAAGGACTAGACAGCTGTCCTTGTCAAGCTCTCCGTCCTGCATCACTGACAAGGGGACCCCACCCGGAAAATCTGAATGAAATTAGTCTATTGAGTATTCTACCCCCAAAACAAAAAACAGTGACCGC